CTCATGTCAGGAATCCATAGTGAAACTCATTTCTGTTTCCAGTTATATTTCTCACTCTCTTATACTTTCATTTTGTTATTTCCACAATCTGTTGACCATCGCCACCTCTCCTTTATCACAGAATAGCATCTGTTTTATTTAGACGGGGTAATAACTGTTAATGAAGACATGTGAAGACATCTGCGAATGTGTCCGTCTATCACATCTAAATCTGTCAGACCACAGAAGCCGTGTTCAAGCCAACCACATTTACTTTTACAACATTTTTTTATAGCCATCAAGATTTTACATCAGTGTCCAGTTGCAGCTCAGCTCTGCCTCTCATGTCTGCTTACCCAGAGCGGCTTAAGTCGAGAAGGTTAGAGGGAATAAACATCGTGTTTTATATGAAAGGATACGATATTGATGAAAGGCTGTAACATGTACTGAAACAGACTCAAGTTTACACTGATGTCTCTATATGAGCTACAAAATCAGACCAAACCAACAGAAAGAAGATCAACTTTAGTGCATGTTGTGTGTCGTGTAGTTTTGGCGCAGTGCAGTAGTCAGAGTTCGGGGTCGACGGATTTTTGTTTTTCAGGACCGATACAGATACAACTATTAGAAATTCATGACACAGAGCAGGGCTGGATGATTATGGCAAAATTAATTATTTTGACTGATATTGAAATCATGATTAATAACCACGATTATTCACTAATTTCAAACTTGAGTATTTATTGAAACATCAAAACTGAACTTTCAATAGAACTTAGAAGAGCAGCCAGAAATAAATTAGTAACAAGTTAAAAATTTTTTAAAAACAATCAGCTCTGTGATCCCAGACGATAACTTGCTAATGCTAATTCTTGCGGTGCGACACCCATGTGCGTGTGCATACACTGATATGAGTCTAAGTTAGAGCCACGTAAATTGAAAAAAATTCAGGGTGCTTTTCCTGCACAGGAACTTACATGTTAATCATTTTTCTTCAATTATAATGTTTTTATCAGCGGGAGAAGCCAAGATCGAAACCATGATTAAAATTCGATTAATCGTCCAGATTATCAAGATTTAGAAGCGATATACATTTACAGTAAAAGGATAAACTTCCTACCAAAATTAAGGATTTAAATAAATTAAAAACTCTATTAAATATGTGAAGCAAAGTAGTAGAAACAATATTTTTAATAACGACTGTTGAAAACTCGCTGGCATGCAGTGTAAAATAAGGTTCCATTTCCTTATGGTTTTCAAAATAAAAGCATGTTCTTTTTTACTGTGTTGTGATTGCTCTCATTTTTGTACAACTCTTTTATTCTGACTGTGTATCCAGGACGCAATATTTTTTTTTGTCGGACAGTCGGGGAAAGTCCCGCCCCCTTCGCTGTCTGCTCTGTACGTCCAACAGAACATTACCGCAATTCTGAATATCTTAAGCCTAACACTAACCCTTACCCTACAAATGATGAGGTTTCACAGCCATAAGGAATAACCAATCAGAGCCCAGCACATCTAGCCAATCAGAGGCGAAGGAGGGCGGGACCTTCCCCTACCGTCCTTCAATAAGAAAAAATCACATCCTGGTCACCTATCAGGTGAATGAAGTTACTTTCAATCTTGAGTTTTTCCCTTTGGTCTCTATTGTACCTGCATGTAGAGACAAAATGTTTGTGCCTCCAAAATACAGAATTACAGCGATGATGTAGAGCAGGACCAGAGCAGACATACAGACTGATAAACAAAAACTAAATGATTTTTTTATACAGATTTATTTAAACATACTTTTGGTCATTTTACATCATTTCTACCGAGTCCGTTTTGATAAATGTCGCTCTGTGCTGCATCAGATTCAATTATACTCAAATTTTCAGGATGCTTCAACAAAGTGGACTTTTATCCTGATGTAAAATACTTTCTCCTTTTTAAAAATAAAAACTACATTATTCGTGTATTTTCTGCTTCGTTCCTGCGTGTGCACACCGGGGTCAGCTGACCCGCTCATAATGCTCGCAGGAGAAAATTAAAGCTGATTGTGCTTCATGAGATGAAGGCCTCGAGGTTTTTGCCGGAAGCTGAGAACAGGAAGTGGTGACTCCTGCCAGCACAGGTGGGGGTGGGGGGCAGTGTGGGGGCTGGTGGACACGCCTGGCTGGTCGTGGCGTCCGCGGTGTCGCTCACACTGAGGCCCTCTCGCCTCCCGTGTCAGCACTGATGACTTCAGCGTGTGCCCTTATGAGCTCACCTTGCTAGGAGAGACACAGGAAGTGGGATTAGAGCGGTGACAGTGTCAGGGGGGATCACTGTGTCGTACCTGCACTGGGGGGGCTTTCATCTATGAGTGTGTGTGTGTGTGTTTAAGTGGATACACACACACACACACACACACTCAGATACCTCAGGGTTATCTCTTTCACCTGTGTTTATGAGGCTGATTCTCAGAGCTGGCTGATCTGTGACGGTCAAAACAAGCCACTAAAAGGCCTTAAAGAGGAGAAAACACCGCTCTGTGTGTGTTAGATTATTCTCTGATTCCTACAGTCCGTGTCTCGCTGGTTAAATTCTGTGTGAACGCACGATACAAAGCAACAATTATCCACCAATTCAAAAACAAACCAGGTCCAATAACCTGAATTATGACGAGCACTTTTCATCTGCGGAGAGCTTAAATATTCTCACCCTCACTCGTCTGGTTAGGTCCACAAGTTGTTCATATTTCGTCTCTGTTGGCCTGAATTTTAGGTCGTATGTTTCGTCTAAACTGAAGGGAAGCCACCGCTTCTTTTATAGGCCCCGACGGTTCAGTGTCCGATTTCTCTTTTTTGGAAAAGAAGGTCACAAAAATTATCAAGGTGTGGTCCTGATCCAGCCACCCTGGTCCAACAAAAACTCAGAATGTCAGCACAACGCATTTAAAAAAAGTAATCCAAAAAAAGTGGGAGACTCACCAGTCCTTGAAAATTCTCTCTCTGAGCTCAACTCTCACAGTTCCCCCGCTCATCGTCCAATATCAGGGACGGTTGAGGATCACCTGCAGCTTCAGACGCGTCTCGGGTTTTCTTACTTTGGTTCAGAGGCCCGGCTTCCCTGGAACCATACCAGACCACTCAACAGACCACACCCCAATCTCACACACACACACAACAGGACCAAGGAAGGGTGAGATTGGGGAAACCACCTTGTAAGGTTTAAACACAGATAATCCCCAAATTACATTTTTTTGCCTTTTTTTTTTTTGCCATTTTGTGTGTTTTTATGTCACAGTCATAAGGAGAAAGTGGAAATATGACTTTCTGAAAAAAGTCCAAAAAATTAAATTTTATGATTTAAGTCCACAGTCGCTCAGTAGAGACGCCACATTTTTACAAAAAAATGTCTCAACGTTTTGATTTTATAAAAAAAAAATTTAAATTAAATTTGTTTTTCTTGAAATTTCAGCTTCAGTCTTAAGGTGTGAAATAAAAAAAATAAATAAAAAAACCATCCTCTTCTCGTGATTTTTCATGTCTTGTCTTCTTTGCGCCTACTGTCACATTAATATATAAATCACAGCCTTTATAATACTAAATATTTACATGTCAGGTGTTGTTTTGTCCTCAGAGAGGATAGGGATCACATTGAAATTCAAACCTTTATTTATTTACAAAAGAAAATGAAGATTAGGGTTTTAATACCATGAAGATTCCTGAAACACACACTGTATAATCTGAACAGAAAAGAGTCAAAACTTGAATCACGGTGGTGAGAAATCAAAAGTCGTAACTTTAATCTTCAGGGACATCAGGGGAAAACACAGATTTGTAGAGTTTAGTGTAAGAACTTTAAGAGCCAATCGGAGCGAGTCATGTAGGTTTCCAAAATCCAAAGTTAGGAGGTAGTTTATCAATCAGAGGCTCTAAATATATATATATGAATTTTTGTTACACGTCTGTTCAAGAGAAAACCAAAATGTTTCCAGAGAGGACACACGGAGAGTGATATCTGCAGGTGATCTCCAGAGTCCAGGAGCTTTAGAGGTCAACCACAGCATGTCCATGGATCAAATCAACTTCATCTAAAATATGTGAATTTTTTAGATTATTTCCAGTTTTAAAAAGTTCTAAAATATCTAGAAAAGCAGAGTCGGTTTAGACACAAAAAAGCATTCGTAGATGTTTTATTTTTATACCAATAAACTGAGGAGTTCTTGAGATCTGAGCTGAAGGCTGATTCAAATAAAAAACTTGACTTTTTGTAAGTGCTGAAATGATTTAAAGTGAAAATGAAATTACGATGTTTCACGTTCAGAAACCCCAACTCTGAGCAAAAACACAAAAACAGTCACGAATACATGGAAAAGCTCTCCAACAGTCTGAAACAAAGAGGTGACTCTTCTCTTTCGTTTTTCATTCCTCTGACCAGTTTTTCTCTCGCTTTTTTTGTGAATGAGTAATCTGTAGCTTTACGAAAAAAAGAGAGGTTATTTATCTTATCGGAGGAGAGACGAGAGTCATTGAGAAAGAAGAATAAAGAGTCAGAGATAATCGATCAGTCTTACATAATCGTGGATGAAGAGAAAGCGCAGAAAGATTCTGTTTCTGTTCTTTAGATGAAGTGAATTTCATCATTTCAGGTTAAAACTCTGTACGGACTGTAAATAAATAAAAGATTTGGTTTTCTTATCGGTTCTTGTAAAACTCTTTTTGATTATCGATCCAAAATTAGATAATTACACACGTGCGTAAAAGGATAATGCGTAAAAGAAAACCCTGAGAGTTTCTAATCTCTGATTTTATGGATGTTTTTTTTTTTGTTTTTGTTGATTTAAAAACGTCTTTATAAATGAAGTGTGACTCTCGTGAAGAGTGTGTGGTCTCCGTGTGTGTGTGTGTGTGTGTGATTTGTGTTGAGCCGAGGGACGAGTCTCTCTCTCTCTCTGTCTCTCTCTCTCATGTTGAACCTATCACGTCCTCTCTCTGCATCAGACCCACCTCCGACAATATGAGCGCTCTCTAAATGTATATATCATAGCTTAGAAAAACTCTGCGTGTGTTTGAGAAATACTGGCAGCGGCTTCGCATGTCAAATGAGACGACGAGACAATCACCTGCTCCGCTCGTCAAAAGTTTACAGAGAAATTGATGGATTTATGTCTTCATTTGTTCTTGTTTTGGTTGTTTTTCTCTCGGCTAAGACTCTGAAGTTGAAACTTTGAGGCCTGTCAGAGCGCAGAGCTTGATCCATGTGAGGATAAGAGTCCAAACGGGTCTGTTTTGGTGGTCTTCTTTTTTTTGTTGTGCATGCTCTCATTCATCTGGACGCACGAGTGGAGCCTTATGACATTACGCACAGAGCAGGAGCGGGGCTGCAAATGGGCGGCATAGGTGGCAACCTCTACCTCAGCATGTTGAATGGGACTGAAACGCAAACTTTCGGGAAGAACACCGACATCAGCAGTCACCTGCACCACCGCGGCGGGAAGGATCTATCAGAGTTCAAAATGGGGATTCAGGACGCGAGGTTTTACTACCCGGACTCGGTTCAGAGCGGGCAGGACGCTCTGACTCTGCCGTACCACTCGGAGCAGGCGGTGGGAGGGTACGGAGCGCAGCCCGGCAGGTTTTACGCACAGAGCCTCAGCAGCTGCCCCTACACCGGCGTGCGCTCTCCACCGAGGAGCGGAGCCGGGCAGGGTTACATCCCGGCGGCAGGAGACGGGTTCCCTACAGGCGGTAAAGACTTGTACTCTCCCTCTGCGGAAAATTACCCAGGGGGCTTTCAGCACGGCTACCAGCGGCCGCCTCTCTACCCTCTACCTGGTCTACAGGTGTGCGGGAAGACGCAGGCTCTGCTCAATAACTACCCGCTGTGGGCCAAGTTTCACAAGTTCCAGACCGAGATGATCATCACCAAACAGGGGAGGTAAGCTGACACACACACACGCGCGCACACACACACACACACACACCTCCAGCTGTTTTTATTCTGATTCCTCCAACTCAGTCTGCAGGTTTGTGTCGATCCGGGAGAAAAACGCGCAGCGGGAGGGTGACACGAACTGCAAATTACGCACGAAATGTCGCTCCACTTCATTCCTTTACACACTCTTTATAATTGAGGCAGCGGCAGTTTTCCACTCATGATGAGGCATTACTGCTATAACAACCACTCCACCACAGTGACTTCACATTTGACATGAAGAGAAGAGTTTTTCTGAGAACGGCAGGAGACCTTATCGCCTCGTCATGCTGCCTGCGCGAGCTCCGATCAGACTTTACATGTCTCTAACTCTCTCTCAGGACTTCACGACCACATCTCTGTCTCTGGTCAGGTGTTGACTGAGGTGTTGGCAGCTTTGGGTTCGAGCTGTGAGAATGATGAGAATGACCTCTGAACTATATTCACAGCAGAGGTGCAGACAGACGTGTTAGCACTTTGACGCTTTTTGCGCAAAATATGGTCTGAAAAAGCAGGAAAAATTACGCGCAAATATTCCTTTTAAATGTCCTTTTGAGATGCAGGAGGAATAAAACAACTTTTTTAATTTACATAATTAATTTGCACAAATCCATGTCACTTTTCTGTCGTTTTTATTGCGTAAAATGTGTAAAATCAAATTATTCTTTTGGCAGAATTTGTGAGAAAAGGTGGAGTAAATATTTCTCACAGGGGGGGTTTCTGGGAAACATTTTGACACCTCTGTGTGACCCTCACAGTCTGGGGGATCCCTTTAGTTTTACACAGCTGGAATTTAACCCCAAAAGTAGGGCAACCAATTAAATTTACGCATTGATTTTTGCGCATTTACGCTCATTTTAAAGCTGATTGTTTTTATATAATTTCTTAATCTGAAAAATAATCTAATTTTAGGCGTTTTTACATTTAAATAGTTTGTATAAAATCTAATTGAAGTGTCCGAGTGAGAGTCTCCAGAACAAACTCTGTGATCAGTCCCTTCAGCGCGATCGTGAAAATGATCTCAGGATTATTTTTGGTGTTTTTGTTTTTTGTTTTTGTTTGTTTTTTTTACGGGAAGAAGGAGAGAGAGAAGGAGAGAGAGAGAGAGAGAGAGAGAGGGAGAGGGAGACGGTGGCGCTGGCGGGTCCTCTGATGGGTCAGTGAGCATGAAGGCGCAGTCACGTCGAGGAGGATTAATCCTGTAAAACGCGACACTTGTGTTTGACAGAAGGTTTCAGGCCACGCGGTTCTCATGGCGCAGAAAACAGGAGCGCTGTCACATCAGAGGACACTGATATATTTACGATAAATACTCAAACTTTACTAATTAGTAAAAAAAATATCATTTAGACTTGATTTTTTTGTGTGCATGTCTTCATGTCTTTGCACGAACTGGATTTGCTGCAGGTTTGAACCTTTAGACTCCAGACTGCAGGATTTCACCTGCTGCTGAATTTGAGTTCATTTCTACTTTAATTCTTTAAAACCTAAAACTACTAAAATAATCTGTATAAATGCATTACTAAATATGGGAACTAAAAATGATATATATTGATTTTAGAAACTAGAAAATGATCAGATGGAAAGCTTTAACTTTGCAGACTAAATAAAACAGACTGGTGATTTGGAGATTATCTAAACTCAGTCTTAGATTAAAACTAAATATTGAAGGTTGAAAATCTGTTGTGATATTTTTAGGACAGGGACACCAAAGACTAAAATAAAGTTTTCTAAAGCGAAAAATAAACCTGGAGGTGAATTTGCGTCAAATTGGAAACATGACAGAGTCTAAACTCAGAGTTTATCTTCAGAGAGAGGAAGAAATTCACTATGTGAGGGTCTGTGTGAGCGAATAATTCAACAGTTTTCACATCCATGTTCCTGAGCTTTACACTGTAAAGAATACGTGGATTTTGTTATTTAAGGATTACATTAAATTATATTTTAAAAATAGATTCTGGAGAAATCTCTGTGCTGAAATTACAAGGCCAGAAACCAGAAACCGAGACCTCCGGGCCCTCGAGTGACACGACTCTGCTGTGGAAATCACTGCAGGAGCTCAAAATCACCTCCAGAAACCGCCGTCTGTACACACACCGTACAAACATGTGTCAGAAAAGCCGCGGACTTCCAGTTAGAGACGAACCGAGCAGAAGTGGAAATTAGATTTAAGCACAAGGTTCAAAAACCATCAGACATCTGTGAAGGCCTCATTACTGCTGGACAACATCTACAGGTTTAGGAGGAACATCCAGACAATGTCGACTTCATGATTCAGCAGGACAATGATAAACCGTATCCTAGCAACAACATCAGGGCTCTGTAGTAGAAGAGTCCTGGAGCCGAAACGGGCCTGTCTGCAGAGGTGGAGGTGGTGCAACTTTCAACTTTATGGAGATTTAAAAGAGCGTGTATTCTTTATATTTTTTAGTTTCAACATGGAATAAATATCGGATTAAATTCATTTGCAAACCACTAACTTTTCACGCCGCACGCTCACTTTGTAGATTTTTTGTTTTGGTGAAATCAGAGAGAGTTTCAGGTCGCTGTCGTGTCACACACCTGATGTTTTTAAAGTGTGTATGAGGTGTGTTTCTGTTTTTCTTCCTATTTAACTGAAGCTCTGAAACACAAATATCAGGAGCTGTCAAAATAATGACTCAAATATAGTTTTAATTAAAAGTATGTCAGTGTGACCGCAGTGTTAGCAGAGCAAATGAAACTGTCACACACACACAAACAAGACTTTGTGTTAATACTTCCCCCAACAACAACAGCTTTGGTGAAATGGGCGTGGAGGTGATATCCTTCCACATGAGACAAAAAAGCTAATTTTTCGTGTCGTGCAAAAACCACAAACCTCGTGTTACAAACATTTAAAATAATGACGATGAAAACAAGCGGTGAAGTTCAGAAATATCGAGAAATACGACAAAACTCCTGCGAGCTTTTGGAGAAGTTGAGCTGCAGAAAAAAGAGGATTTTTTTCCCTCCAGTATCAGAGGTGAAATCCTCCTTAAATTTTTATCTAGGGTTCAGACTTCCACATTAATTTTGCTGTGATTTTTTTAGACAGAAAGGGTCTGAGGGTCTGCATTGTTAATCAAAACCCCGAATCTATGAGAGAACAGGTGGAAGAAAGAGTCGAGGAAACTAAGAGAAGGGTCAAACACCACTGAGCCTTTAGATGGCCACGCCGAGGAGATGAAGCACCTTTGAAGTTCAGGAAGTAAAAGACTAGATTCTCTCTTTTTTTCTCTCCTTCTTCAGTAGAGCGAGCGCCTGCGTGGTGTACAGCCTGACAGATCTCTCAGAAGTTTTGCTCGTGTACCACACCTGGGCTTTTGAAATCTCGAGACATTTTCAGGGGCCTGTGGCAAAGGGAGGCGAATTCATCTGCACTTCTCGTGAGGTTGATTCAGATCACCGCGCGAGCTGGCGCCACTTCGGGCCGTGTGGTCGTTGTTTGACTCTTGCAGGGAGGCAAAGGTCGTCATCATCATCATCATCATCGTCTCTGCAGAAACACAGAAGAGCACAGATATAAACATAAACATATTATTGTCTTATCTTGTTCAGAGAGAAGAAGAAGGAGAAATTCATGCAAAAGAAAGAGTTCAAAAAAAGACCAGAGTGACTGAGACTGAAAAGAGAAAGTGAATTTTTTCCTCTTGACTTTGATTTGAGCTAATAAGTTGATCCTACACCTGGTGTGTGTGTGTGTGTGTGTGTGTGTGTGTGTGTGTGTGTGTGTGTGTGTGTGTGTGTGTGTGTGTGTGTGTGTGCACTTCAGATATGAGTCAGGAGGACAAACTTTTCCCTACCAGAGTTTCCAAGAAGCAGCTTCATATGAAGAAATTAAAAACTCGTATATATTTTCAGATTTTACTCGTTTGAAGACCTCCTGAAGTTCGTCCTGAGCACGAATCAACATTTAATGCTTCGAAATGAGCGCTGATGAACTTCTGCTTGACCATGCGGCGTCTCGTGTGTTCGAGGAAGGAGATAGGACTGACTAAACTCTAACCTTCCAGCGAGGTGATTGCAGCGATACACCTCAGACTGAGAGGATTCATGCTCATCTGGTCTCTCTGCTCCACTGAATCCAAACTCTCGACGCGCATCAGTCTGTTAGTTTTCAGAGAGGAAACAAGATTGACAGACACAGACGGACAAACAGATAACAACAAAGTCCTTATCGGGGAAAAAGCAGAATTATGACGTTATTATCGCGCGATAATCAGCATAAATGGGGAAGTTACGACATTAAATGAGGACGGGAGTTGCATCAGATCTTTTTATTTAGAGAAATATTTGTTTGTGCTTCATCTTCATCGAAAAACTGTAATTATTAAAATCATAACTGTAAAATATCTTCATTTGTACGATGTAGATGATAATCTAGTTTCTTTCCAGAGTGGGTTTGTCATATTAAGGGCATTTTCACTTTGTATCACCACGGAAACTAAAGTGGGCGCCCCCTCCTGAAGCAGCAGGTTCCACGTCTGAATATAATAACGCAGTAAAACAGTAAAGGGTCAGGTCTGAGGGATGTTTGGGAGTCTTGTGCACCGTCTCTCTCTCCCTCTCTCTCTCTCTCTCTGAAAGCAGAAGTGGACTATTTCAAGGTTTTGACGGTATGACTTGTCACTTCCTGTTCAGCTGTTTATGTGTGTGTATGCAGCTTTTCGCAGAAACCTCTAGTGCCAATATTTTCACCGGGTTAAACGAGAGCCCGTGTAAAATAACCTCCTTTAAATAACTGAAGTCCAACACGTGTCCAGCTGCGGGCCAATCCATGCGCCGGTATTCTCTGACTGCTATCAGTCTATATTTGGTTTTCATGAGGGTTAATTAAGGTTTAAGGCTTCAAATAAAACGTCTGATTTGAAGTTTAGGAAACCAGATAGTAAGGCTGCAAGATTCTGAGCAAAATAAAATCTTGATTTACATTTTTTTATTTAGTGACAACTTCACCAAACTTCACTTTAATAATAAAAAGTTTTTCTATCATCTTTCAAAACAAAACCACTGAAAACGATGTAGTGCATATGCCAAGCCAGTGAGTGGCGCTGTAACGCTTCAGAGGAAATACACAAAAGACAGAAGAAGAGTACAGAGTAGGACTGGGCGATTATATGATCGTGATCAATGATCGTGATGAATTTCAGTTCGATCACGGTGATCAGCTGTGAGCGTATTTACTCGATCAAACATGGCGGAAACGTGCGTCACAACAGCCAATCAGAGTCGAGCTTCTCCTGCTCACTTCTATAAGTTGTCGGAGAAGTAACACATTACAGAACATTATCGCAATTCTGAATCTCCTAACCCTAACCCTGATCTGACAGACGATGACGTTTTAACCAATCAGAGCCCAGCAATTCTAGCCAATCAGAGATGAAGGAGGGCGGGACCTTCTCCTACCATTCTACAAAAAAAAATTTCGCCTCCCGCAGGAAGGGGGCGCCTACAATGGCCTGGAGGTGCGAGACAAGACAGAGATGAAGATCGATTTGACGATTTTAATTTTTTTTAACATCGTCAGAATCAAATAATCTGATTATGATTCAAAATTGATTAATCCTTCAGCCCTACAAGGATATTTGATATTCTGTCAATTCTAGCAGATACATCAGTTCTTCTCTATTCTGACTTTCAACCACTCACTATGAAATTTAGCAAACTGAAATGAAAGGAAAAGATCCTCTCTGAGTGTCTCTGATGTCCTAAAGTTTAATATGATTATAATAATAATAGGAGGTAAAAGCACACATGACCTTGTTCCATACATAAACACAGACTGCATCAGCACCAGAGGGATTCAAACCCACAGCTCTAATCCACCAGACAGCCTCCCTAACCAACCTGCCAGCGTGCCACTCTGATTCACTGGAAAGTTGACGGTAATGACAGTCGGCTGGCTGTCGCTCCCTCAGCCTCACTCAGGTGTACACATACGCACATGAACACTCATAACTGGAGTCTTTTCATTCAGACAGATATGATGTGTGGTGAACCAGCCAGTAATACAGAGACAGTTCAGCTGGGGATGACATTTAGAAAAATCAAAATAAACCGCGTGGATGCCAAGGAGAGAGAAAGAGAGAAAGAGGAAGAGGAAGAGGAAGAGGAGGGGGATGGGGAGTCGGGCAGACAGAGGGGAAACCGCGTGGGGGAAACAGAGGTTAGAGAAAGGGAAAAGGAAAGAGCAGGAGGGAGGGAGAGAAGGAGGCAGAGAGGGAGGGAGGGAGGGAGGGAGGGTGGAGGGTTTGTCCTGGGGATGGAAAAGAGGAACTAGATATTCACCGGGGAGAGGACTTTTCCGCTCGAGTGCAGCGGCTGATTCATCCGGACAGGAGTTCAGGTCCAGTTTTTGTCACCGTGCGAGCGCCTGATCATCTGTGACGATAACATGCCAGTCTACAGCTGCTGCCGGACACAAGCACTCTTTAACACGGACGCTCTGCTCCTCTACGGCCTTAAAGCAGAAGAATCCACTGACCAGATGTGTGAGAGTCGCAGTGATGTTGAGTTGATTTCATGCTTTACGTCTCATGAATGATAATCCTCCTCATAGACCAAAACCAAAGAGGTGTGAGTCTGCGCCATGATTCCTTCTCACTTCACTGCGACACCTCAGGACCTTTTAGCATGTGGGCACTTCTACTACAGAGCCATGATGCTGTAAAACACGCAGAAGTCACTGTCTGGATGGCAGACAGGAGACTCCACCCTCCTGGTCCCTCAAATTTGGATTCCTCAGACCCCAGGACGGTTCTCTACCTCACCTCAGACCATCTCTAACAGACCTGAACAGTTTCAGCCTGCCATCGTTCTCGGTGACACATTATGATTACCGACTGTTTTATTTGCAGTGATTTCCACTACAGAGCCATGCCTGTTTTTAATGCAGTGCTACCCAAAGTATCAAATATCATTTCTTTTTTAATCAAACGTGTTACTAAGTTGTTGTAAATTTGGTCAAAATCGTGCAGCCCTATATCCTTGCAGATGCGTTGCCTAAATTGATGCGTTTCTTTTTTTGATTGCGCTCAGTTTTACTCCACAGACTGCGGATCAGCTGTTGCAGCATTTATCTGCTTCCTGCTTTTGACACTCCTAACCCTCCTCCTGTGTTAGGGTCTGCACCGACCTGTTTTTGATATTAATTATAAAATACTCTTATTAAAATTATTGCACTTGTCGTGTTAGGGTAGCTATTGACCCAGTTAAAGTAAAAATCAATAATTAAAGCAAAAATTAAAATCATATGTGCACCAGTGATGGGCACGGCAGTTCTTTTAGATGTACTGAATCATTAGAATCAGTTCACTAAAAAGATTCGTTCAAAAGATTCATTCACCAAATTACCGAATCATTCAGCGCTTGGCAGGAGGAGCCTGAGACTCTGACCTCCTGGACTGATACACAGCTGAACGGTTCAGGATTCAGTTCAATTCATAGCTTCTGGGACCAGGAGACAAGAGTGTTTGGCTGTGCTGCTCTGACAAACAGGCTTATAAAATTAAATTGTTTGTATTATACTGTCCTATGGTATGCTATTTATCAGGTCTGCTCGGTAAATTGGGCTCAGTGAGTGATTTGTTCACTGAACATTTAGAAGAATTCACACTGAACATTCACTGTTCCCTCGCAAACCACTGCAATAATAGGATGCTAGTTGTTCTGGTGGCAATTAAAGCAGTAAAAAAAATAAATAAATAAATAAAAGTTGGTTTTGTGCGACAAGAATGATTACAGAGTTCAATGCGTGATTCGTTCACCAAGTGATTCAGGCGTCAGTGCATGCGGTCCCTTGTTCGCCTGGCAGTGCTGCGTGCTTTAGCAGCTGCACTGCTGACAACTCAACTAAAGGGAGAAACGAACAAATCATTTGAGAAAGTGATTCCATTCAGAACGTTCATTTAAAAGATTCGGTTCTTTTGAACGAATCGTTCGCGAACAACACAACACTATTGAGGGGTATACTGACAAAGAAAGGCCCAGAGGATGACAACAAAAACTATCAAAAGTAATATTTTCATGGATAATGAAGCCTAATAAGGTAACCTAGAGATGAGAACCAAATTAGATGGTAGAGAATTGTTTTTAGTGTAATTTACAGCTGATTTCAGACACAGATTGAAACCGAACCTTAACATAGTGGGGGCATAGCAAAAGCTAACACAGGAGGATGGTTAAAAAAAACACACTTGGTTATAAAGTCACAACTAGTATGTGTTTAGTGTGAAACAGAACCAAAATATCTCCAAATGACTCGAGTTTGAGCGACAATCTGTGGGTAAAGCATTCAGGTGCAGCTAATCAGACTGATATCAGAGGGCGGCCAGGGCTAAAAGTTAGCAGGTACGCAGCGGTACGTAAACTTTCACCCCTGCAGTGTATGTAAGTTACATTTACTTACCTTGTTGCCGCACGTCAGTCTGCACTCTCCATTGTAACCGTAGTAATCCAAAAAGACCGCGCTGCTTGCGAGTGAGTTAATTACTTCCGCAAACAAACAAACTCCGGAAGTCGGCACGATGAGTGCGCACTTTTGATTGGACGCTGGTTTCCTAGGCGCCGGGGATCGCCTCCCGCCTTTTGCAGCTGCTTCAGTCTTCATGAAGAAATAAAACAAAATGGAGGAGAGAAAAAATCATGTTATGTTGAAAAGAAAGAGAAATGCAGCAGATGATAGAGTATCTGAAACAGTGAGGGAGTAAAACAGCAGAGGGGATACTACTACTACTACTACTACTAATAATAATAATAATAATAATAATAATAATAATAATTTTATTTTTATATCACTTTTAAAAACAGAAGTTTATAAAGTGCTTTGATAAAGCACAGAACATCAGCACATGGAAATAAAAACAAATATAAACAAAAGCTCAGTTAAAAACAAGGTCTCCGAATCGAAGGTCAATTTCATTTTTCACAAGGAACCCAGAAAATACAAGAACCCTACAACATAAAATGAGACCATGAGGACCAAAATAAAAACATGAAATGTAATAAAAAAGGGGGGTAGAGAGCAGGAAACAGGATAGTACATATAAAAAGACGATATTAATAATGATAAGAGTGATCAAGCAACTTTCTTTATTGTTCTCGTTCAAATGATCCGTTTGTCACCACAGCATTAAACTTGGGTGTGCTCCTCTTGTACAAAGCCTACGGGTACAGAACCTGAAAGAACCTTATCCTACTTTCACCCCTGGGGGCGACGGTGTCACAAAAGCCACTTGAAGTCCTGGTTTCAGACCACACTGGTGTAGCAGTGCTGCATCTACCTGATTACTAAATTCAAAAGTACATTTCATGAATTTGATTCCTGATAGCAGTTACCAGAAAGAATTGAGGAATAATAGAATCTTAAACATGTGATCTGAAATATAACTTAAATGTTTAACTGTTTTAGATTTATGTATATTTGTATATTTGCTTTAAATTAAGATTCAACTTGGAGTAAATCTGAGAGCTCCAGGTGTGACTGAATCTTTCCTTTAAAGAGGCCCACCATGTTTTTATGCATGTCGGTGAAAACCGTACAGTCCTTCAGATGTCAGTGAGGTGAGCAGCTACTGTACTCTTCAGTACCTGCAGAGATCTTTACAGTATCGTGTGTTTCTGTTTTCGGCTTTTTTTCTAAACTCTTTACAGAAAGCAGGAGCCGCCCACACATGCAAATACCCCTCTGTGTTGTGTTTTCTATGGTTTCCCCCTGCGCTGGGTTGTGATTTCCTATAAATGGCCCTGTTATCAGTGAATTGACAAAATCAGAGAGAAATGGAATTAGAATTAGAGAGTTTTCATGTGTTTGTACTTTAGTATATATGACATCTTTTCAAACCTGTATCTCCCTACAGTTTATTTAAATATGCTGTTTTTTCCCTCCAATCTACTTTATTTATTTAGCACATTTTAAAAGTATTAAAGTTCACCAAAGTGCTGCACAGTAAAATCAAAAAGAAACAACAAAAAAACATAAAAGTACATTTAAAATGGAATAAAATAAATGAAATAAAAACATAAAAGAAATAGAGGTGATTAAAAAACACAGGGATTAGGACCGTAAAAGACATAAAAGGACAGAGATCACACTACCCCTCATACTGCCACAGCAGCCTCATTTCTTTGACATGAAAATGCGATTTATTAACATCAGTCTTTGAAATGAATCCATCCCAACATTGATGGAAAGTATCATAAGCAGCAAATGTTTTAAAACTAATAAAGACCGAACAGACAGAGAAGGGAAACTTGACGTGGAGAAGAGGCGTTTAGAAAATGTGATATAAGTCGCCCACACTCTTTCACTTTAATATAAGTCTTATTTTAACCTAAAGTATTAAAAACTATTTAACGTCTCAGGAGTAAATAAAAAAAAAAGAAAAAGCCTGAATCTACTTTCTAGACTACTCTCGCTCAGTGTAGGAGGGTTGATCCATTCATACGCTGAGCAGCCGAGTTTCTGTTTTCACTTGTATTAAAGTCTGCGATGGAAGAAGAGCCCTTTCACCTGTTCTCTGCGAGCTGCTGCCACGATTTGGTTTCACCAAGAACTATGATTGATTGTTTAACTGGACTCGCCGTGTAGCCAGAAAGACCCAACTGGGACCGTTCAGGGCAGGGTTTTGTCTTACCGCTGAAGGGTAAGAAGAGAGAGTGAGTGAGTGTGTGTGTGTGTGTGTGTGTGTGTGCTCAGTCTGCAAGCATTAAGAGCCATCAGTCAAAGACACAATTGAGGTTACAGTTGACCATGTGACTGTGCAGTACGGTCAAATGAAACGATAGAAAAGGACCATCTGTGGAGCTTTTTGAGACTTTTATAAAATACCAAAATAAAAATAACCTCATCACATTTCTTCAGTTTCATAGATTCGCAGATACACGGCTGTTTTTTTGCAGAAATAAGGTTCAAGTTCAGTGATCAGTTCTGCTAGATTCTCATGGGGAACAAGACGGTTTGAATCTAGTGTAGCATGCTGGAGTTACAGAAGAGTTGATTATACTTTCATTATTGCAAAGAAGAAAAGAGAGGAGATATCGGCAAAGATGGTGTGTGAGGTGATTTATACAATACTAGGAATGTTGTAAATGCATGAAGGACAGCGGACCAATCACAGAGCTTGCAAAGTTTAATTTTTTAGGCTTCATACGTCAGCTTCTTCATACATACAGACTTATGTGAACGGAAAGCAACCTGGCAGTTTCTTTTCTTTAAGCTTCTTTTCTGCAGAGCTCCAGTAGCTCATTAACGATTCGACTCTGAGTCTTAGGTGGAGACAGCACTGCTCGCTAACTTGCAGCCTAACCTAGTGTCTGCTCTCGTACACGCATGTCTTTGAGGACAGGATTAAAAGTTAATTTCATATTTCTTACGAGCATTGCAATCTGCTAACGCACACCCTTGTTCCATGATTGTCCTCTCTATTTCCCTGAGATCTGGCCTGCATAGCGGGTCTCCGGGGGCGGAGCTTGGAATTGTGACATACGAAATCCCATTGTGTCTGAGCCTGCCGTTTGGGTCTGCCAGAGAAATTTCGCACTTGCTTTTCTCACGATCTGTCCTGTAGCATCAGAAAAAAGAAGAAAAACATGATTTTCATCAGAGTGGGTCTTTAAGCTTTGACTCTGGTCACGGTCGATTTTTCAGCTCTACTCAGACATAAATTGGAATTGTGTTGTTGACTAATTCCTGTACTGCATTCCTCCACATCTGTTGTGTGTCGAAGTATGAGTGTTAGCTTTATGAAACCAACATGTATGGCGAATACTCGTCCCTTTGTGCTGTTTGAACCCAGTCATGTCACAGGTTCAGGCTATACAAACACACACACACACGAATCCTCCCCTACAATGTCAGGCCCTGCAGGTGCACCACCAGCCTGCTCACAGTCGCCTCAAACACCTCGCCTGTTTTCACACCGTTAAATGAGCTGACTGCTTCAGGGAGTAAACTCTGAGTTTAAATCAGACTAAAGCTTTTCTAACACACCTAAATGCTTAATTATACATCGTACGGTGTTGAAGTTTCTTTATGATTTTAATCTTTGTTGTTGTTGAGAGCACTTTGTTGTCTTGCACCTCCAGATGGTATCTTTAGTTTTTTTTTCTGGCCCACACCAAAGAGGTTTTTCAGCAAAGAAAGCAGAGGGCGTTTCTGAAAAGGAAGTCTTTTTTTTCTCTTTTTGTGTGTTAAGTCTTTGCGCTCTTACAACGACTAATTTTAGCTGCAGTTTACACTCTACAGAAAAGACAACATCTGCAGGCAGAACCGTCATTTATTATAAGTGGGACTAAAATCACATAACAGTGCTGTACACACACAAACGGAGGGTGTTTTCAGTCATTGACAGAGGGGTGGAGGGTGTACTGGTTGCCCATTACTCATTACACATGCTGCATAGCCTCAGGTTCTGTTAGCACGGGTAAAACAGCTGGGCCAAATGTCAAACATGTTGCCCTGATTTTATTAACACCAGCCACTCACTCGTGACCTCATATTGACCCAAACAAACACACATGACGACGGTGGCGAATGATCAGTGCTCGTTCACTGTTGATATGACACATGTTGAGTGTGTTTTATGTCTATGTTTGGTCGTGTATGTTCCTCAGGATGATTAGCTTAGCTTAGCATAAAGACAGAGAACTGTTAAAACCAGGATCTGGAGGAGCGCAAAGAGAACTTGTTTTTTAAAGGTTTGGTCCTTCTGACTTAACTGATCCTCATCTAACATTCAGAGTTCACATTTGTCAGCTACACTCGTATTTGGTCTTACATGGGTAAACTGGCTTTAACCTCGGCCCTGCCACCGGAGATGGTCGCCATAATTATGACGTTTCTTTCCGTTAAACCTGAGAGACTGTTTTTCTTCTATGTGTGGTATTTTCAGGTGAATAATTTCTAAGTTTCAGCTAAACCTAACCCCTAATTTCCACTGCATTCAGAACGGCTACAAAAAAGCAGTAACCGCCAATCGGAGCTGATCGTAAACATTCAAGTTAATGTGTCAATTTACACCGACTTCTTTCCTTTCCGCTGCGGATCTCCGGACTCCGCAGCTGATCACAAGAGTTCTATTTTCCGGATGCTAGATCTGATCTCATATCGACATCATTTGTTTCCTGCGGTATATAAAAAAAAAAACTTTAAACCAGGTGATGATCTGGTTCATGTTTTGTACCCAGTGCTCCTCAATCAACTCTACAAATATTGCGATTCTTTGTTGCGTACATAGACGTGTCTCCACAGACTCAAGTGTCCGTCTCATGTCTTGTGTTTGTTTAGTTTTGTGTATCTAGTGTCCATGTCTCATGTTTTTGTATCTTTTCCTCTTGGTTTAGTCCAGCCTCTCTTTCTCCCTCTCTTATTCCTGGGCCTCGGCGCCCGGGGACGCCCTGACCTCCAGGTTACCCCGTCTCACTGCCGCCCTCTGACATCGAAATAAGTTCAACATGTAAAGCTCCAGCAATCAGGAGCAGCTTCTGAGCCATCTTTTATTAACACCGGCGTTAAAAATTCATTTACACACATCCCCTCCACTTCTCCTCCATTACTCTCAAGTCCTGACCCATTCACTCTCACTCATTCATCACATTTTAAGTATCTTTAATTTAGTGATGCCTGGAAACAAATAGAGGAATCTAGATAGATAGTTTCATTTTCTAACAGTGAGACTCTTTGGTCCTTGCCTCTACCTTTTTTATTAATCTTCTCACTCCTGAACTCTTTCAATACTTTCATCCACCTCCCTGACTTACCTGTAGACTTATATAAGAGTTACGTAACCATCAAGCTCAGGGATGGTCAGACCAGCTGAAACACGATGACCCGAACCAAACGTGATAAGAACGACCCGGTGTTTTCCCTCTGTGTCTCTCCAGGAGGATGTTCCCCTTCCTCAGCTTCAACATCAGCCTCTTGGACCCGACTGCTCACTATAACGTCTACGTGGACGTGGTTCTGGCCGATCAGCATCACTGGAGGTACCAGGGCGGCAAGTGGGTCCAGTGTGGGAAAGCAGAGGGGAACATGCCAGGTACATTTACACACAGGAGGACTGTTAAAATGATGCATAATGAGTACTTTCACTCTGGTTAACTTGATCAAATCTGGAATTTTGTCACTATCGTTAATTTTATACTGTATATTTACGAGTTATCATACTTTCTCAACATGCAGCTCCAAATTTAGCTCATTTTAGTTCAGCAAAGTAACAGATGTGAGTACTCACCAGTTTCCTCTCCTTCTTCCTTTCGTTTGAGCGAGCACTTAACCACACTAACATCAGATCTCAGAATTAATTAGTGGGTTTATCTCTTCTGTGTTTTTTTCATATGACACTCGAAATTTTCATAAAGCCTCACAGACTTCCTCAGGATATTTGATGACACATCGTTATTTTTGAAGACAGCGCACTTACCCACAATGAGACATGAAAGTGGTGAGACTTTGTTTTTTTTTCCTATCGTGAGTTCCCGATAGTAAAGACAAAGATTGAACACCCGCTAATGATCATAAATGTGCCTACAGGATGAGTTTGTGACGTGCAGCTCCTCAGCTCAGCTCAGGATGTCGAGGAAGTGGTTAATTTAGCTGCGTTGTTTACAGTAGGCAAACCGAGATGTGCAACAAGATGCACGGGTGATGTGAGAGGTTTCTGTGGACATGTTGATATTGCTCCTGTCAGCAGCCTGCAGAGAGAGTCAGCGACACGAGGAAGTGAACGTTACTGAGGTGTTCTTAAAGTTAAAATGTGATTTCATTTATTTTAGTCATTTTAAATTCATATTTGTGTGATCATGCTCATGCTGTCTGTGAGCCATCTTACTTTGTGAGAGCGGGGTTCGGATCTGCTGTCGTGTTTCTCAGGTAAACAAACTGAGTGTGAGTTTGTTGCACCAGCTCTGGAAACGTTACATGATACAGATATTTAAGGTGACAGAAAATAGTAAAACAGAAACTATTAAAATGAAATAAAATAATTTTTCAAATTAATATCTATGTTTAAAGTCAATCAGAAAAATAAAGCCAATAATTAACAGAAGACCAACAATTAAAACAGTTAAAAATATCATTCAAAGAAAGAAAGTATATAAAAAAGAAGTTTATTCAGGATTATTATTATTTTAAAATATTTTTAAAACATAAATATTATTACTTGTTGGCTTAAACTGTGCTGTATAAATAAAATGGATTAATTTGGATTAGGAGAAAGTTACATATAACCGGTCTGTATGCTGGTGATCTCAATGTTTGTTTGTTTTATAAACAACTAAAAAAATCACCCACAGGAGCTTTAAAGGCTCTTTAAGTGATTTTAATAACCAGATAAAACATTTTTTAAAGTTTAGGGGGAAATTAACATTTAATGAAATTTGTAAATGATCAGTGAATTTTATAGAAAAGGTTGTTTTTGATTAATTTAACACGACTGAAAACTTCTGAGTCTTTGTTTTCATCATCTGTGGTGTCCAGAAATGTCTCTTCATTAACCTCCAATCCAGAAGATCAGTTTTGTAGACCAGAAACAACTTTACAGTCAATATAAAAGCAGCGCTGTCTCAGTATGCAAATCTTTTATTGTGAAGGAGTTATTTGGGTTCACCTACAGGAAGCTTTTATTTTTTTAAACCCGTTTTCAGACAAACACAAACACTCTTCTGCCTCCATCCTTGTCTGTCACTCCCTGTCTTTCTCTCTTCCTCTCTTCAGTGATTATTTCCTCCCGTTCACACCTTGAACAGAAACAATAACAAGTCAACCAAGACGAGCGTTTGATTGATGATACCGTAACCACAACAACGTAGATGAGGGGAACTTTAAAGTATAGTAACAGATGTGCCAGGTGTGTGAAGAGGTGACAGCTGATGTGCGACATTTGTGGAAACTGTGGTGAAACCGTTTTACTCCATTAGATTTAATAGATCAATTGTGCGGTGAGCTGATTGCAGGTTAGCAGGTCAGTGTGGTGACGCTGCGAAAAAAAATCACAGCTCTGACATCGTTTGTGTAAAAATGAGAAAATTAGTCTTTTTTTTTTTAAGTGTGTGTGTCACAGTCGTCTTCATAAACGTCAAACTGAAAAATCCAAAAGGCAAATCAAACAAAAAAACAAAGGAGACTAGGATTCACACATCGACTAAGACTGACACACACCGATCAGAACAGAGGGGAAGACAGGGACTATATATACACACTGGGAAACGAGACACAGGTGAGACTCATGGGTGATTAAAAAAGGAGGGAAAACTAGGGCTGTGTCCGAAATAAATCACTCAGTCCCTAACCCCTAACCCCCATATGAGGTTTCACTATATAGCTGACTATGTAGTGAGCTCAATCACTGGGGGTTTCAGACACTACATGGCGCACCGTTGTGACGTCACTGCTCAGACTCCCGCGTCTGAAGTTGCATCTGTTGTTTTCACATCTCTTGAATTTTATCATGTTGTATAGATGAATTTGTTTTTCCAGGATGTTCGTGAAATAATAAATTTTTTAAAAACAATAAATTAATAATCTATTTAAAAGGCCTTATATTTTTGTGCCGAATGTTGTTTTCTGCGTCATGTTGTGCACGAGACTATATGACGCAACAAAACTGTACGGACCACTTGCGAGTGAAGTGAAGATAAAAAACTAACACTGAAAATGACAAATAGAGCTCGGGTTCTGTCTCTTCGCAATAACGTAATGCATGACGGGATGACCACCACCGGTGAGTGACCATCGGATGGTTCACTACATTTTGCAATGCTCTATGGGAAATTTTGAGACGCCTATATGGGGCATTGGAATTGATCACTCAGGTTTCAGACACAGCACATTCTAGGAACACAAGGAATCAACTCCTACAAAATAAAACAGGAAATAAACACCGAAAACTGATTTAAAGAATAAAACACAGAGAACAGGAGGGAAACACAAACTGAAAAGACTGGACTACAGGAGAACAGGAACACTAGGGAAAATACACTCAGATAACAAAACCAGGGAAAAAACTAAATCAACAGTAAATATCATGACAGTGTGTCTCCATCAATTTCATCTGTGCCTCTCAGCTGAGATTATCCCCATCATCCTAATACTTGAATCAACTTTACGCAACATCTAAAGCACTTCTATAAACCTGCAGGTCTGCAGACATGGCTGACATCTTTTTAAAATGATAGAAACATGCTCATAGTTTTTGTTTTTGTTTGTTTTTCTGCTGACAGGGAACAGGATGTACATGCACCCCGACTCTCCGAACACAGGAGCTCACTGGATGAGACAAGAAGTTTCTTTCAGCAAACTCAAACTCACCAACAACAAGGGCAGCACCAACAACGTGGCTCAGGTACAGAGAGAGGCGCCTTTTCTCCTGTTTTTGTCAGAGCCCGACAGCAGGTCACCAGATAAAGTCTGAATGGTTTAGAGATGGACCAGTTACCAGATTAATGTTATGAAGATAAAGTCGAGGTGAAACTTCATCTATGTTTTCAAAAGTCAAGAACCAAACTGTGCTGAAAGATACCATCTGCCACCTGAGCTTATTTACATACAGATATAAGAGCATTATAGTATTGGGCATAGACACGACATGTGATCGTCATTTTAGGCCTTAAATAATGCTGAAGATTTGTTTGAGAGTGAACCAGAGTGTGTTTTAGTGGAGCAGAACATTTGTCATATTTTGGATGTGGTTCCTCGAATACAGAGTCTGGACTCTTCATCCTTGTTTAATTATTATCGTCTTCTCCTCTTCAACAGTCCAGGATCTGGTTAACCTGATTTGATACAGTCACATTTTCTCTCAGACTGAGGAACAACCATAAAAAAATATTATCATGACAGCAGATCTGTGTCTTCTCTCCAGATGATCGTGCTCCAGTCGCTCCACAAGTACCAGCCTCGTCTTCACATCGTGGAGGTCAAAGAGGACGGATCTGAGGACCCCTTCCTGTCGTCTAAAGCGCAGACCTTCATCTTCCCAGAGACCCAATTCATCGCCGTCACCGCTTATCAGAACGCAGATGTGAGTCACATCGACCAGCGGAGGATAGTTTAATAAAAACAGATGCAGCTTTTTTAGAGCAGCAGGTGTTCAAACCTTTATTTTTGTTTGGAGAGTACGATATTTTACCCCCTAATGTGTAAAAATCACAACAACACCTCCTCTAACTTCTCCGACACCATCTTAATGCGATTTAGACGTCAATGATTCATGTCAGGGCCATGTTTCCGTTCATGCATGCACGTATGAAAAATTCACACACGCTAATTTAAATCCCTACGATCTACTCCGAGCGTTGGCACGACTTCGTGGACAGTAACCGGGTTCAACAAAGAGTCACGTCACCTCGGCTGACCTGAGCTCCTCCGTGTGTGCTGTAAACAGATGATCTTGAACAGCTGTTCATTGTGGAAAACGTCTCTGCAGTTACCAACGCTCACACTGTGTTTTTCTGTTCCATCACTGTAGACATATTTCTGCAAACTTAACGGCTCAGAAGAAGATGAAGTCTTGCACGTTATCTTCATGAATTATTCGTCAGTGACCTCCTCTCTGTCTGCTCTCTCGTTTCTCCTGCGTGGTTGCTCACTCCTTCTCTTTTTCCTCTCATTGCCCTCCTCTTATTCCCCGCACAGATCACTCAGCTGAAAATAGACCATAACCCCTTCGCTAAAGGTTTCCGCGACAGCTACGACACGTAAGTATTCTCTTAAAAAAAGGTGTTTGTAGAAGGAAAAAATGAGGGTCGGCTGGCTCCTTTAAGAGGGGAGGCCGAACCCGTTTTTTTTTAACTGTGTATCTGCTCGCCATAAATAGTGATGAAGGCCGATTGCATGGACAGTATTAACTTCCTATTTGAATATCAGAATAGATGAGATCAGAGCTCAGCTGCATGGTGAGGGTGTGAGGGGCTGTGAGATGTTTGAGAGATAGTTTGAGGTTTGCTCAGGAAATAACACCTTCTTTTTTCTCCTCTCACACTCGGCTCTCTCACCCCCTCCTCCCCCTCCTCCTCCTCCTCTTCCTCCCTCATGCCTAGGCTGTACGCACCTCCTGACTCTGACCGCCTCACGCCCTCCCCCACAGAGAGCCAGCAGCTGCTCACAGGGGGCTGCTACCCTCAGGGCTACTTCTCAGAGCAGTACATGAGCCCCCTGCCTCAGAGCCGCTTCAGCATGAGCCAGCAGCGCAAAGACCCCACATCCAGCCCGGGTCCTCACAGCCACTGGTACCTGCCACCTCAGCAGGGCATGACCCCCAACCGGCTCGACTTCCCCTCCTCGTACGAGGGCGACTTCTCTGGGAACAGTTTCTATAAGCCCTTCCCCCTGCAGACCTCGGCTCACCACGCCCTCAGCTACTACCCCGACCATCCTTTCGCTTCGACGAGCGTCTCCGTATCAGGAGGCACCTCGGCGGGCTGGACCACCAGCCGGCCCACCCCTCAGTACCTCAGCCACCCGAGCAAACACGGCCCCAGTCTGGGCTGGTTCAGACCCATATCGTCCTCTTCCTCCTCCTCATCTTCTTCCACGTCACCCGGCAACCCCAGGCTGCACCCGCCCTCGCTCCTGGAGCCCCTGCAGACGCCCCTGCTGCAGGAGAAACCCAAAGACTCAGTGGAGGTGGTGGGGGAGGAGCCGTGGCTGGAGCCCCCCTCTGTGAAATCAGCCGCCTCAGCGGACTCGGGCCTGTTTGAGGGCGGCGTGGTCGACAACAAGAAGAGGAGGGTGTCGCCTTACGCGTCCAGCACTGAGAACTCCCCGCCCCCGCGCGGTGGAGACGTCTGCGAGAAGGACAGCAACAGCGACGCGGACTACTACGGCTACTACACCCACTGATGGTCCCACACACACGGCTTCATGCATCACCACCGTCTCTCCCAGCGTCTTCCCAACATCGTCTGTCCAGTCGGGGCCGGACGAGTCCCTGAACCAGAACCACAGAGTCTGAAAAGTCTCCTCTCTCCGGAGGAACTTTGAAGGTTACTGTCAAACTTCTCCATGAACTGAAGTGGATGTGACTGGGACGCTGCCCTACAGTCACATACAAACACCACGCAGACAAACAGACCTGTGACTTTAGCCTCAGAAGCATCTGGAGATTTGGGGGTGACAAAATGATCTGCATATCTGCTTCCTGACAGACGCCTGAAGGGCTTGTCTCTTCTTTCTGCGTCAAACTCTCTCTCTCTCTCTCTCTCTCCCCCTCTCTCTCTCTCTCTCTGCGTCTCTTCTGCTCTGTCTCTTCTTTCTCACCCTCAGACGTTCACACGTTCTCCCGCAATATGCTTACCTTCACGTCTCCCTTCAATTTTAATTCACACGCTTTTTTTTTTTCTCTCTTCGATCAGGCCCCACAGGTGCGGCGCAGCGCCTCCTAGTGGCCGCAGGCTGACAGAGCAGAGGTCAGAGGTGTCTGAGTTAACTAATGCCAAGAGGTTAAGAGGGCTTAAGCAGCACATGTTCTGAAGTACGAGCGCTAATCTGAGTCGATCCAGCCAGAGCGATCTCCCCTGTGCGTCTGTGTGTGTGTGTGTGTGTGTGTGTGTGTGTGTGTGTGTGTGTGTGTGTGTGTGTGTGTGTGTGTGTGTGTGTGTGTGTGTGTGTGTGTGTGTGTGTGTGTGTGTGTGTGCAGAAATAGCAGCTCCTCACACCTGGAGATGATCCAAAGGGAAACTGAAAGAATGAAGGAATTACTCAGCAGCAGAAAAGCAGAGCTGCTATCTTTAGAGGTCCTCATGATCATTGAGATTAAAAAATAAAACGTTCATAACAAACCTGTCAGAGATGATCAGCACTTTAAAGATTCAGATGTTAAAATAGAAAAACTCAAACCCAGACAAAAGGCGGGTTAAAGCATTTCTGAGGAGTCTGCAAATCCTTCAAACGACTTTTGTTTACGTCTAGATCAGACATATTTTTAATTCTTATTCCGAAAAACAGAGAGTATGAAAACTAATCGACGGGTTTAAGTGACAGTATGATAAAGGGTTGAAATCTCCTTATTTACCTTTTCAGGTGTTCTTGAAAACCGTAATTTCAGCTCCTCTCAGCCGCCGCCTGAAACGCTTCATTTTGTCCGCTCTGCTTTTCCGCTCACTCAAAGTTGGACACTCCTTCTGGGTGTTACTTTTTACACAGTTTTAGTCACAAAGAAGCACAAACAGCCTCATTATGGTCGCTGTCGTCCTGAAAAGAAGACGAAAATCTGTCAGTCTCCTTCACAAACTTTGCAGAGATTCTAACACCGTAACATCATATTCATGTATGAAAGTACAGATCAGACAGGACCTTAAATGCATCAGTAACACGTGACTCTTCCAGCCTTTTCGTCCGTCTGTTTTCACTGCAGAGGAATGTCAAACTCTATTTTTGGATAAATGAGAGAAAAATAACATGTTAATAAAAACACCACAACAGTGCAGAGTGTAAAACGGATGATTTACTGAGAAGTGGGGAAAAAATTATGAAAACTCACAATATGTAGTTTCTCTCTCTGCTGATTCCAGATCTGGAAACTGCTAAATATCGTCTGAAAATGCAACATTTTAAAGGTCGTGGAAAAGCTTGCTGGATTTGTGCTTTCAGACTTGAGTGAAGGTTGATTTTGGGAATTCTTACTGCGAGGACATCTACAGTTTGAATCAAGATGACAGTCAGATTTAAGGGTTTCACACGTTTCATTTGCTGCTTGTCTTCCCTCACTCTTTACTCTCCCTTCAGCTGTCGAATATTTAATAAAGGTCTCAAAAGTCTCAACTTAGATATGAAAAACATTTGTACATCTGAGCTGCAGACGTCCAGAAAACAAGCTGAAATCGGGCTTGTTATGACAAATCCCAGACAAGCTCAGTCGATGTGAAAACGCTCCTGTCACCACACACAGTGAAGCCCCTGATCAATCGCAGCATCGACTGCGTTGTAACCGGAAAACAGTATTGGCAGAGGGAGGCGTGACAGCTTAGACCGCACAAACAAACACAGAGAGAGAGAGAGAGAGAGAGAGAGAGAGAGAGAGAGAGAGAGAGAGAGAGAGAGAGAGAGGGTCCCATACAGGAGAGGAAAGTCACAGCGAGGGTGTTTCTGGGAGTCGACTCGGGTGTAAAGGACAGACTTCTTTGTTCTGGTTTCCTCGTACAGTAGCTGCAGACGTGTGAAAAGTGGGTCAATCAGAACGGCTCCACACACCTGCTGTAGGTAAACAGACCAGGCAGTGTCACGATAGGAGCAGGAAGCACAAAATGACCAGACAGACACAGGATTTCCCCCTCTGGTGTTCAGGGCGGATCATGTTGTGACAGCGGGTGACAGAGGCCCGGCTCTCCGCGCCGTGACAGAGATGAAGAGTGAGGCCGCAGTCGGCGCCAATCAGAGATCTGCTCCTCATTCCTCGCCAGGTGCGCTAATGGCGGCGGACAACTCTGGGGGCGACAGTCAGGCACTTCCTCGTGTGCAGAGCAGGCGGGGTCACTTCAGTTCCTCTATTAGGGGATGAAAAAACTCGCAATTTTACGACTTAGAGAGGCCGATACACCAACATCAGCCCAACTTAGCATGTAGATTTTCTGTGTTTGAGTTTTTAAAGAAAACAAACCGAATCTAATCTGAAACAAACTTAACTTAAAATCTTTTAGAGCTGAAAAATTTCTCTGTCAAACCAAAAAGAGTTGAAGTCAAATTCTGCGTCAGACTCGGCCTCCTCTGCAGAAAACTGTCACCTCACTTGCACGCCGGCTCTCGCAGCGGTTTATCATTAAAGGAGCAGAACTGAGCGGGATCTCGTGAGGCTTTTACACTTAATAGTGACTTCAAAAATACTCCAGAGGTTATACCAGAGGTTTACACGAGCTCGCAGGAATATGAAGATGAGAGAGATGTGTGTCAGCCCCTGTGTTTGCTTAGTATGTCAAGATGAGGCGGATTGAGTGAGAACGAAACTCTAGTGTTCGATGGGCGCCAGCTAAATGTTTGAACAAAACCACGATTACCTTTCACAACAACCATCGGGGCTCCAGAAACACCAGAAACACCAGAAACACCAGTGCGACTGCAGAATAAGCATTCAAAAGTTTGCATGACGGACATTTAAAGGCTTCAAATCCAAAAAATACCTTCACAACCTCTGATTACGTTTGTTAACTTCAAGTTTTTGTACAAATTAAACGAGCAGGATATGAAGTGTTGAAGGTAGGGAGCCGAACAGTTCCTGTGTGCTAAATTTGTACAAAGACTAACCCTTCGTCTGCGGCCGCTTTAAGAAGAGACGATCAAAAACACGACGGTGCTGCATGTGGGAAAACGATCATAACAGTTACAAAATCCTGTGTGAAGAATACATGACATTACAGGTGGAAAAACAAGAGGGTTTTTATGGACCTCAGTGAAGGTGCATGAGGATTAATTGTTGTTTCAAGTGCAATTAATAAAAGTAAACGAGTTCAAAGTTATCATGGCGTTAAAAAGTGAATTAGAGGACAGTTCAGGGTCCTCGCTGCCTGCAGACGATGACAGTTATTTATTTTATGTGCTGTGTTTTTTTTTGTGCAAGCCCTCGTTGAGCTGCAGACACCTCAGGAACGCCCTCTGCTGGACATCTCCGCTATTACAATCAACTTCAGCTTAATCCCTGATGTTAAACCTCTTATACCTCCATTTCCCATGAGTCTGTGCTCCCTCTGAGCCCTCGTTTGTCTCCGTCAGAGCAAAGTCTGTGTGTGTGGGAGCTGCATCTCCAGAGATTTTACTGTATATTATAAAAATAGAGGAGCGAAGAGCGGGCGAAAGTGTGTTCTTTTTGTGTGTCGTCTCTGTGCACTGTTCATGTGGAGGGTGGAAGTCTCTCCTCCTTTTTGTCTCTTCCATCGAAAGCTTATAACATGTGATGCATAAAAAGAAGAGATTTCTGAAGGGGAAATTGTTATTTATTAAAAGGTGGCATAATTGTGTATTGTACTGTTGTTTTTTTATTCATGAAATTAAAGCTTACACATAAAAAGAAAAACCTGTGGTCCTTGAATTCATGTGGAGGCCTATCGACTCAACAAAGCACCTTTTTAAAATGCTGCACATCCTACTCAGTCAATTCAAACATAAGAAATTAAGTGTGTTATCTAGACACATAGACAGTAATGTTAAATGCACTGTATAAATACAGTTTGTACATGTTTCCAACCAGCTGGATTTTCACTATTTAAGAAAACAAAATAACCGTTTCATGTTTCTCCTCCTTCTTTAAACGCTCTTAGTCATGATTCCCTGATGAGTCGATAACATGTTCAAATAAATAACATTAAAAAATAAAGTTCTGTATTTGTAGATGTTAATCTGTGTTAAAAAAAGACCGCAGTATTCAGAGGAAACACGAGTACAAACTAGAGTACTTCATAAGTTTCTCATCAGTACCTGTGGACCTTCTCTAAAAACACAGGCCCTGTCCTTAATAAGCAAAAGTTAGATTCACAATCAGCTTCAAATGAACAGTAACAGAACAACAGGCCGGTAACAAAGGCAAACTCACTGAACAGAGACAGAGCTGAGAGCTGCTGCAGCGTCTTCTCCTCACTGTGCTTAAAACCTCCTGGTCCACAGGCCTGACTGCAGCACTGTCTGATCACATTTACAAAGTTCAACAACAGGGAACATCGTTCAATAAACAAAGTGTAATATTTGTGTACGGAAGCCCAAGGGGGACGTGCTTAGAGTTACAGGATCACTTTCAGGCAATCAAGAAAACAATTTAGATTATTTCTGGATAGAAGTTACAATCATCCCACGTTTAGATTGATCGAGTGTCATTACAAAGAAACATGAGAGTACTCGGATTATCTTTGAGCAGAAAAAGAAAAAACATCAGAGGAAAATTTCTCTGAAGGGAAAGAGCCAAACAAAGCTCCAGTGAGGAGGAGGAAGATGCTGGTGGTACTCCAGCGCTGAAACAGCAACAGCTAGTTTTTAGAGAGACGAGGAAATAAAGGCAGCACACAGATGCTGCTGCTGAGTGCTGTGCGCCCCCTGCAGGAAAACTGTGAGACCTAGTGACACCTGCACCTCTAACAGTCAGGTAACTTCAGTTTGGAAGTAAAGCAGGAGTGTAAAAATCCTCTGAAATGACGACTTACTTTTAAAGACGTCCTGTGCTTTTGGTATCCTTCTTTATTTTTACGTACGACTGAAATCGACTCGTTATCACTGAAAAACCGAGTGGCTAAAAGGTTTGAGGGTGCATGTCCGCTTTGGGCTTCCATAGTGGGGTCATGATTTGACTGAGCGTTAACATTCAATAATCCAAAAACAGTCCAAACTCAAACTAATCCCTCTGTGAAACATTTCAAAACTAAAGAGTTTGTTCTTTTAAAAACTCATCCGTCTGCGTCACACATTCAGAACTTCCAGCAGAGATTCTCAAATATATAACTTAAATTTGTCTATAAAGTAACCTAAACAAACTCTGAAACACATTTCAGAGTAATGAGGAAGTTCTGTCTATAGTTCTTTACCTGCACTGAATGCTGGGTAATTTTACCTTAAACTGTCTGCTCCCATGAGCCAGTCACGGTGAACAGAACGAAGGAGGAGAGATCAGCAGCACTGTCTCCACTCTGCACAGAGCGGTTCATACATGCTGTCCAAATGTCCTCCTCTGCTCCTCCTCTCCTGATCCGTCTCGTCTCTCCTGCGACGTCCCTCATCACCACAGAGTGATGTTTGTAGTTTTAGCGAAACCAGGATCCTCTCTGAGCTTCCAGTAAGTCCCATTCGTCACCCACACGTCCCGTCCGCACAAATCTTTGGATTTCCTGAAGAAAGGAGCCGAAAATAAAACTTTAAAAGTTCTGATAATGCACTACTGTTTGGTAAAAACCAGAGCCTCAACAGGGCCCTGAGCAAACTTTGATTATTTGGGCCCTCTATTTCTGCCAATAATATTGATTGTTGATCATTCACACACCTACTACAGTATAAATTTAAAGCGTCTGACATGTCTTTACACATTTAAGGGGGTGGCCTAGGTAATAATCCACAACTTCAGGATTTGAAAGGCTGCACGGATACTCGTCAATTTAAAAAGATGTACAAATGCAAAAAAAAAAACCGGTCAATATGCTCTTGAAACTTAAACTGGATGGTAATGTTTAATTGATTTGAGCTAAAAATATACTTGTATGGGATATTTACTAATTTAATTGATTCCCTTGTTTTTGTTTTGATCAATTGTTTTGTCGTTATAATCAAAGTGTTATTGATGTTGGCCATTGAAAATCAACTGTATGTGATGTCAGACCATGCATAAGAATACTTTTTACCATGATAATTTTACAATAATTATTTTTACAATAATCTATATCTGATCATACAGAAAGCATCACTCATTCATCCAAGAAACAAATAATATATATATATTTGTTTATTGCTCCTGGTGGCCCCCTACTGGCCAGGGGGCTTGCCTCTGGTAAATACTATCAACAGAGTTTAACCCCTTTCTGTCAAACTACACTGAGAAAATAAGACAAGTCTGAGCTCATATTTAACCGAATATTTTCAGAGTTTTTTCTGTACAAAAATGTCAGAATCAGGATCTTGTTACACTGTGATGATCCACACATACGACCTCTATGTCGACTATATTGTTCATCGTTTAAATAAGAGGTTTGATCTGTTTTTTCTCTGTGGCAGAAGGATTAAAAAGTCACCAAACATCTCATGGTCTGTAATCATTCTGCATTACGAGGAGTATGAATGACTCACTTGAAGAAGCGTGGGATGTGCTCCTCTCCTTTCTTCGCCAGCTCTTTCCTTCGCTCCCTCTGACACTCCTCGATATGATCTTTCTTTCTGTCTGATTCATCCACATATCCGTCCTCCAGTAACCTGCACAAACAGATTAATATTTAAACTCTTGTTCAGTTTGTGTTGACTTTGGCGCCCCCTGTCGTGCATCTTTCCACTCACTTTTGGTCTGGGCGCAGGCGGCTGTCTGTAGGAGGCAGGAGAGGCTTCAGGTCCGGGGGGAGTTCATTCAGCTCCATGGCGAAGGTGGAGAAGCCGTAGTACAGCAGGTAATCCTTTGGCATGGGATCTGTGGAGTGAGAGTCCGTCAGGTGATCTGTCGCCGCGAAAACGTGACTCCTGGATTTATGCTGATTAGCAGTTTTGGCGTCAGTCAGCGTTGGATCGTTTCACCTCACTTACATTTAAACCTTCAACCTCTAAACAAGAGTCCCAGACCAAAGACATCAGCACATGCTTGGAAACAAGTCTGTCTGTTTGTGATGATGACGACTCACTTGGTTTCCAGACGCACTTTGGAGTCGGCAGAGTGTCACAGAAGATGCCTTCATGCCACAGACCTCCAAACCGGTGGATCACGCTCCCGCTTTGGTCGAGCACCGTGCCCTGCACCTCATTCTTGTTTGTCTCCGAACCCCAGTAACGAGACTACAAAAAAAACACACGTCAAATAACCAAACACAACAAAGTCACCTTTAATAAACCACTTAGAAGAAAGAGACGATTGTTACCTTGACAAATGTGATCTTGCAGGTGCACGCGTTGCTCTTCAGGTTTCGAATAGTGACCTCCCCATAATGCTCCAGGTATCGCTGCTGGCTGAGGACGTTGTGGATGCAGGTCACTACTTTGTTCCACTCGTAATGGTCTCCATACCTGAAAAAAAACAAACACAGAACATCTCTCTGTGAACACCTTCTTTAGGAATGATAATATGCATCTGAATGTGTTGAGGGTTTACCTTGAAAGAGTGACATTCACCATTCCTGTGGGCAGAATCTCCAGAGACTTCCCCCAGAATTTATTTTTCCATCTCTGGTCTGTGAAACAAAACAGACGAGCGTTCAAAAGAAGAAAACATCTGATGAACAAAAGAGAGAGAGGCCACGGCGGACCTGCAGAGACGAGCTCACCTTGCCAAAAGCTGAAGTTGTCTGAGTCAGCGTGACAGGCGGAGATGGGAGGATGGTGGCACACCTGGTGAGGTACAACAGATACTTTTATTCATCGTTTTTATTAAGTACTTTTACTGCCAAGAGAGAGCAGCAGAGCCAGGAACTAAGAGGTAAAAAAGTACCGAAGATGAACATCTAACATCTTTGTTATGAAGCAGGATGGATTTAAAAGTTTAACATTTTAGTCATTATTCCTCATGGGTTTGGAAATACGCACTGTGATAACATTTATATCACGAATATCGTGTTTATGAATTTCTTTATAAACCAAGGCGCTGCTTTCATATGCAATTTCAGTCCAACAGAGCTATTTTATTTTATTTATTATATTGTATTTTTATTCTTGGAAACAGACCTGGGTACTAATTTCGTACCACAGACTGTCAAAGATGTGAAGTATAACAAATGAAGTTCCTTAAATCCTTGAAATCTGACCACCTGAAGTTTCCAGGACATTAATAATATATAAAGACCTGACATTAATAAGTTGCTGTAACTTTATTAAAGTAATAAATCATTCAGGCTGAGCTTCATGAGACGGTGATTTATCATAATTTAGCAGGAGGAGATTACTGGCACTCAAAAGTAATCCTCCACCATGTTGTAAAGACAGTCTGTTTAATCAACCTGCTTCACTGTCGTGGACACTCGAAGCTCTCAAAGGCTGTCAGTGATGTCAAATAAAGAAGATCCTTTGACGGTTCCTCCTGAAGTACCTGCTCACTAATGAGGCGGAAACCCCGGTCCTCTCTCACACACTCGAAGGTCTCCCCGAGCACCGGGTTGAAGGGCTTGTAGCGGTTTCTGAACGTGGCGGTGGAGTAACCAGAGATAGCGAAGGCAGCAATGTAAACCTGAAGGAAATCGACACAGGAACGACATTTGGTGCACTGTGACTTTAAATCATGACAAAATTTGATCTGTTTTTGGACATAACCACAAAAATTAATATCTAGATTTATCACCATCGCTAAAACAAATCCGACATCGTTTCCTCTCAGTCTTATCGGTCACAAACTCGAGCGTGAATAGTCTTACCATCCTCTGGTAGGGGTCTGCGGTGTTGTTTGCGGTATCCAGCAGCTCGCTGTACTCCAGCTCCTCACACAGCCTCTGCAGCAGGTTAACGGGCTCGTTCAGAGCGGCGGGCATGGACACCCGAGCCAGGTCTTTACCTGAGGACAAACCAGCTTTAAGGAACTGCAGCGGGTTCAAAAATACATCTGTGGTGTTTTAAAGTGATGCAGCTTGTCGATATGTTCTTACCGATGTTATTGTAGAGGATAGCCATGAGGCCTACGTGGCTGTTGTCGGGACACTGAGCAGGTAGTGAGGTTCTCCGTCCCGTGCTCTTGGGGATGACACTGTTAGGAGACTTGGAAATGCTCGCTCGGTACTTCCTGGTGGCAGAAACTGCAAAGACAGTCAAAGGTTTAGCCAGAGATCGGTGTGTTGTCCTGGATGAAGAGCTGACTTTTAAAAACAAATGAAAGTCCTGTATTTAAGAAACGTGGACCCACCATGTCCTTCTTCGGGCTCAGAGTTGGTCGTGCTCCCGTCACTGAGTCCAGATTCATCTGAAGCTTCGGAGGAACAACACAGGATGTCATCGCTGGCGTCAAAATACTCTGCAGCCGAGTCCGCGACTGAAGGAGCCCTGTGAGACGAACGCCTCACATCTACAGGCTGGTGAAAGAGACGAGGAAAAAAGAGAAGAAATCAGCCTTCAAATACAGGAGGAGCAGGCCCCACAGAGTCCAGATTACAGGCTTACCTCTGCTAATGCGTTCGACTGATGGATGTTGTTGGTGCCCCAGACTTCCTGCAGCTTCTGCCTCTCATGGGACAGCGCTTCATGCACTGTCTTCAGGGAGGTAAACACTGCGGAGACAAAAGAGGACAGAGAACCTTCAGGTTTTATCTGATCAGATCCATTTTAGGCCCGGTCTCGGATTTAGCTTTTGTACGTGCGTGCGTCTTTATTTCCGACCTCGTAGCGATGTGGCACAGATGTCTTGGTGGATCTTTTTGCCCTCGGGCGTCAGTGTGATCGTAGAAGGGCACAGCTGGGAGTAGACGTAGTCAGGGATGGAGGGGACTGAAGTACCGAGGTGAGAGGAGTTGCTCAGGTGACTGGAGGAAAGCTATAAGGTGGAAACAGTGAAGACAGACGGATGAATAACCGCTTAATGTGAGAAATCTTCACCTGCTACAGCTGAGTTATGATATCCACCTCTCTCTGATGCAGAAATATTATGACTGTTTTACCTTTTTGTGTAACCATCAGTAAATCACAGCTTGTGTACCTCCAAACGTACATCTGGAGAGTTTTTTTGCAGCTCAAAATTGTTCTCTAGACATCACAAGTTTCTGAATCACGTTTAGTCAAGACAGAAAACACTCAACAGTCATACAACACTAACTAACTAAAAAAGTCACACAGATCACGTCTAAAATCTTCCATTAACAGAAACCATTTCATCACTACGCTCTATTCAGTGGGGAAAACTAAATTCTCAGGTGTACGAATGTGTTTTGGAAGCCAAATTAAGTTCTACAGTGGAGCATAAACAACGATTTCAATAAAAACAAACACATGTACCAAATATCTTCGAATAACATCGTCTGTCTGTTTTAGGTTTCGTTCTACAATGAGGGTTTATTTACAGGACGGCAGTCTGCCTCAGAGTTTAAATTGAGAACATCAGATTTCAGTTCTGCTCATGAGCCAACTCACCGATTTAGTAATCCCACGAATAGGCTTTGGATTAAAGAAAGGCCCAAAATGTTAATGGAGGGTTGGGATGTTGAATATTTTAGAGAAAATATATCAACAAAAGCTAGACGTCATTCATGATTTTAAAGGATAAACACTTTTCAATGTTTAAAATCATGTAATTCACATGTTGTTGGCATGTAAGTCTGTGATTTCTATACTTGCCATTCCTAGAGCCTCCACTCTGGACAGTGTGCGAGAGTGACCCCAAATCTTCCCTGACCGATGCTTCTTTGGCTTCTCAAGAGACAGATTCTGGATTCATGAAGAGATGAGAACAGAAAAAAAAAATCTCTGAACAGTTTTAAATCTGTCTGAAAACTAAAAAGTGTTTTGATCGAAACACTTAAATTAGCTCCTCCAAAGTGGACAGTAAGCGTACATGAGTGCTTATGATCCGTTTAAGGTCCCCGTTAGTGAAAGCCTGGCCCGCCTCCAACGTCTGCAGCCTCTGGATTAGGCGGTTTAGCTCGTTAAGGTCAACATGGCATCGGTTCAGCTCTGGAACATGAGAAGAAATAGTCTTTTAACGCACGGCTGTGATTGATTAACCAGACAGGACTCCAGAGATGCATTTAACCCAACAAAACAGGCGGTCAGTTTGAACTCAGCTACGAGAGCGTTTGACCTGTTTTATCTTCATTCTAATAGACTGAGAAAAAATCTGATTTTAGGAAGTTTTGAGTTTAGATTTACAGAATAAATATCTCAGTGTGAAAACATATTTTCCAGGAAATGCAAAGAAGGATGACTTAACACACAAAAAACTGTTTGTCAAGCCCTTAATAGCTGTTTTGATTGCAGTCATGGCAGCAGGATAAGTGATAGTACCATTCTCACTTTGCATTCATTTACCTAGTCATGGTGCCTACATCACCCATAATGCAACTGGAAGTTTTACTCCAGTAAAATCCAAATTTTTTTGCATTTTTTAACTTTTCTGCAGATTTGGACTCTCTTTTACTAATTTATTAATTTTTAACTCAGTGAAATTGTGTGTTTTTTATTTATTTATTTTATATTCAGAGGCCACAAAGCAGCAGTCACAGGCGTGATTCCCAGCCTCTGAGACTCCTCCACCGCCTTATGAGCGTTACGTCTTTGTGATTTTGACGATTACCTTGGATGCAGATGTCTGGGTCGTGACTTTGCTGCAGCCAGGCAGACACTTTGGTGTTCACAGCGGTGTTAGCGGAGGGAAGTACCCCTGAAGCTGAAGCTGAATCTGCCCTGCCTGCAGAGCTCTGATAATGTGAACACAGAGAGAGAAAAACACAAACACACTCAGTAAATCAACTTGTAAGGACAGAGTAATAACTGAAACTGAAGAAACTTGTAGAAAAAGTTGTCAGACAAACATAATAAAGTAATGATAAAATATCTGAGGGGAAGAACTACAGAGTAGATCTAAAATGAAACAAGTAAAAATCAAGTATCTTTATCTTATTTGAGTACTTGTACTTCTACCACCATGTTTGATTTGAATGTTTATTTTTAGTCACCAGATCTCCGTTAGTCTGAGACTGTCCGATCCCAGCGCTGTGAGACAGTGAACAGAAGAAGCCGCTGTGGACGTGTGCAGCTTCATTCTTCTTATACAAGCGATGAGCTTGGAGCTTGGTCACCCAAATGTAGAAGAGGTCGTGGCTCTTTGCCTTCACCACACGATAAAAAACAGGAAGAATTTGAAATGTAAAAAGGTGCATTTCGTCTATTTTCTTTCAATAGGGGAAAAACCTGTTTAGGGTTATGGTTACCTTCATGTGATAGATGATGTCTCCAGCATCCAGGTCAATCCGATTTGATTTCTTGTTTATGGACATCACTGCAAGGCTGAGGTCTAAAGAGCCCTGGACTCTTCCTCTGGGGACCTTCAGCAGAGAGGATGTTTAAAACGGTGATTTAGATGTTGTTGTAACACAGTAAGTAAGAAAATCCTGCTTCTAAATTTAATGTTTACTTACGTCATGTTGATTTTTGCAGTAGCGCAAGACCCCTGCCTCTAAGAAAAAGTACCTCTGAAAAAAACCAACACATTTTAAGAATGATCTTTCAAATATCATCGGTCCTTACAGGGCGACTACAGAGTGTGTCCATCTCTCACCTTGTGCCAACCTTTCAAAGGCCACTTCCTCCTTTTGTGCAGGTAGCCTTCACAGATACCCGGCGTGGAGACGTCGTGAGGGTTTTCAACTCCTGTGTGCATTTCTCCATGAGGGTCGTCAATCACTTCCCAATCTTTGATAATCTATAAACAAGTTTAAAGCTCTTGTGAGGAGTTTTTAGCAGGTCATGAAACAGCAAAACCAAACGTGATAATCAGCGATGAGACGGACGAATCCATGAATGTCGTTCCTAATGTCTGGAGCTGCTGTGAGGGGTAGATGTCGCTGAAGAAACAGTCTTCTACTTTTCTACAAAAGATGTTTCAAGCGAGTAAAAGAAATCGACGGAAAACTATTCTTTCACATGATCAGGACAAGATCAGCAAAGAGACAAGAGGTCCTACTGTGCCCACAGGGGGCGCTGAGACCCACACAGACAAAAAGCTACTCACAGGAACTTCAAGGAAAGTCTAGAACTTTAATTTTCATTTGTTTTGTTTGTTTGTAGATTGAAAAAAACTGCACACCGTGTGAACTCGATTACTTGTTTTTCTACTCTTGTAAAGAATTATAGAAATATATCAATGTTCGTTTGCACAGCCTACGACTGGATCGGTGGCTGAATTTTGATGTTTCTTACCCCTAGAGAAAAAATGAGAGTTGGTCTATTTCATCAGTCTTTACCTGCATAAACTTAACACTATATACTTGATAATAAAAAGGCAAACACAAAACCTGCAAATTAGTCACACCTCTTTCTAGACCGGCTCTATCCCCAAATAAGTAAAAACTTGTTTTTTTTCTTCTGTCAGTTTTCAGGACTTTTTTTCCCTCACCTGTCGAGAGTGTCGAGACGACAGGGTGCTGCTGCTCCGTGAGTGAGACGGTTTGTTCCACGTAGGTGACGTTTTCTCCAGACCACTCGCCAAAGACTGACTGCGGTTTAGTGACGGCCCATAAGAATCCATTTCAGGGTCAGACTCCTCTTGGTGTTGTTATCAGCTGGTTCGAAGAGAGATCCTCTGCAATCTGCAAAAAAGTCCCTGTGATGTCAGGATGAGGCGGTTAGCCAAGAATATGACCATAAAATCCAAATATCCTGTTTTTAATACATGTTTGAAGTATTCTACCCCTGTCCTGTAAGATTATTTTACTTTAGCATTTCCGTTTACCATGATATGCACACAAAACAGTTATTAAATCATTACTCTGTGCATACAAGCAACTATCACAAACAAGTTATCATCTCTTTCAGCTTAAACACAACTTAGTCTTACTTTCTGTGCACAGGTGATTTTATTTGGGTGTATAATTCATGATGCTTTTCATGCAAGAAGACAACTGACTAGTGCCCGCGAGTTATCTTGTGCACACACACTGTTGATCTGTGAAATAACGATTCAACGAAAGTGTTATTTATCGAAACTTTTCTTTCAAACACACAATCACCAACAAAGTAACCCATTATCTTATGTGCACAAGATACAAGACTGACACCACTGTGAGACTGCAGAGGGTCCATGGATATAAAAGGAGACCCATCATGTCTGGGGAGAGAGAACCAGCCAACATGTTTTTTTGCTCCTGATTCAAGTCTTTCTAGATCAGCATGTTGAGGTGTTTATCATCTATCATAACTTCTTGTGTTTGTTGAATTACACATAAATAAGGTGAATAATGTAGCTGTATTCTTTGGTTTTATTAATGAAACTAAATAGCCACCCATCAGTCATAATAGTTGGTCAGCTACAGTATTTTTTTCTGATCCTTGTGAGAGAAAAACTCGATGACGACAGACGATGACACCTTAAAAGCATGTGTACATCCAAAGACGACAAAAGGTCTCGAAACTCTCAGACAGGATGCTGTTTTGTTCTCCAAAAATATACCTTCAATTGGATCTTAAAGATTCCCTCTTTAAGTTACTGCCAATAGATAAATTAACTAATTACTATCTCTTTTTCACTCCTAATTAAGATGGAAACATGCTTCAAATGATAGCGCGCTATAACTTCCAGTTGAGGACTCTGCTCTTTATTCGAGTTCAGTTTAATGTCTGTTTCTTTTACTGCAGAGCTGTATTCTGAGCAACAAACGTGTTCGACGGGCTCAGCAGAGCAGGAGGCGAGATGGGACTCAGAGTAATCCCGTTACCTAACAGAGGTGAGCTGTCGCTTCATAAAACACTGCAAGGATTCCCTACGTATGTCCTCAATCCTCAGCCAGATCACTCTGGATCTTCATGTCAACCACACACCAGTGAACATCTATCATCATGACAAACACATGAGAGAGTTTTTAATGAAGGAGGGGGATTTGTTGCATGTTTCTAAACTCTTTTGCAAATTTTCTTTAGTCTGAGTAAAGTGCTGGCATCAAAATAAAAGCACATAAACAGATATCTCTTTGAGACGCTCATAAACAGTGACAACAACCTACATCATGCTCCAATCTTATCCTGTAAACATGCAAGAGCAAATATATTTTACAGCAACATTATAATACTAGTGACATTTTGAGTCCTGTAGGCCGATTCAAACTGCATAACAAAATATTTAAATGTGAATGTGTCACAAATATTTTAGTTACACAGGCTGCAGTTTAATCAAATAAGTAAATAAATAAATGTATAACTTTGTCGTGCAGAAAACAGGATGATTCACTGGTGCTGCTACTCCTGCTTTGCTTCTGTAAGCAACACCAACACGCCCTGCAGGCAGAGGATTACCAACCTCGGCTTAATTGGTTTTCAGGGAATGTTTTTAGCTGCCTGACACTCGGACGGAGAGAACACAACCCTGAGACAGAGAGCAGTGACACAACATGAAAAGATGCTGACAAAGACCTCAGCGGGACGACCAAAACGTGCGTGTGTGAACTGGATATTAAAGTGATTGGAGTCGTGGTTTTCGCCTCATGTAAAGTGAAATTAAACATGTGGTGCGAAGAAGAAAATGTGTCAAACAGTTAAAGAAGTTTTCATGGAGGAAATTAAGATTGACACTTTCATTAGAGAAAGTTTAGTGGACGAAACAAACATTATCACCAGTATTACGAATCCATCAAAATAGTTACTTTTATTACTGAAAGCTGAGAATGCTGGTCATATGTTATTGCTAAGCTTGTCAGTGGTTACTGCCATAATGCTCTAACTCTGTCCCACCAGGAAGTAAACTGGCAAAAACAACAGATGGCATCTCCTAACACAGCGTGGTTTGGCTGTAATTTAACACAGCAAACGGAGATAAAGTTGTGTTCAGGCTGTGTCGATTCAAACTCACATAAATTTACTTGACGGTAACAACGTGATGGTGCTTATTCTGCTTATGTTAGCCACACTCAGCAAAACAATTTCACAAGGTTTAACTGTAGATGTTGTGTTTAGCCGCGTCAAGGTGTGCTCAGTTTCAAGTTTTTTTTCATTTCTGTTTAAACAATAAGGAAAACCTTTTTACGCAGTTAAATCTACATAGTTGTATAAACTATCCAAGAGTGTTAATGTGACTATAAGTTTTTTCGTCACAAATTAAGAGCAGACAAGCCTTGTGCCCCACCTGAGATCTCTACCACTTCCTCGAGGGGAGCCCTGATCCCAGATTCAGAACCAACGGTTAGTCGAAAAGCCAAACTGAGAAATGTTTAAATGGACGTAAAGCTCTAGTAAGGAACTTTTAGTTTGCATCAATTTTGGCACCCTGTGGACAAAGTGATCCCTCTTCTCTCCTTGATTTTGACCCAAAATCTCATCCTGCTTCATTTTGTTTCCTGCGACAACATTTTACAGCATCTGAGTCCTTTTGGATGATGATTTGGTTTGTCCACAAAGAGGCATCAGTCATCTAGTTTTACTACCTGCTAAAACTCCTCACAGGAGCCTCACTGTAAAGATTTTTACCAATCATAGAAAACAAAAAAGTTTGAAACTTTTCCTTTCAGGCGGTTTATAGACGGGAACATCTATAAATAATCACAGATTAATTGACACTGAGTTCATTGTTAAGTGTAAACTTTGTCCTCTTCAGAAGACTTTATTTGTTTTATATGATGAATAATCAGATCGTCTGTAAACAAGTTGACTCAGTGAGACGATAAACTGTCAATCAATCAATGGATAAAGAGTGAATGGGGCTTTACCTCCAAACTGATCTACCTCTAAATCTGGGCAGAAGCAGCCTGCTCCGTGTTACGTAAGTGCAGGACAGGACAGGAGTAAGTGACCTCAGTGATGACAGCATGTGGTGGAAACAGGATGAAGGGATTTACAGGTTTCTGAGCTCGCTTACTCAGGGAGGGACACAAGGAATGTACTACAGGTTTGTGAAGTGGATGCATCTCTTTAGGCCTTAACATCAAAATGTACCTGTGATGTAGGTTTAAAACTTTTCTATGGATAAAAATAGGGCTTTTGTAAGTCACTGCAGTATTACTTGACATTTGTAATCACTTGTTCATAGTAGAAGATTTATATTAAGTTAAGTGCACCTGCCAGCACCTTCAACATACTAATTATAGCCACTACAATAAGAGACATGATGCCAGACATAAAAACACAGAGATTATAATAGGATAATCTTGTTTTGGGGATAAAAGGTGCAGCTAATAAAGTGTGGATAGAGAAGTATGGAAGATATATAAGTTAATGTTAGATTTCTCTACATTTTAAACAGGATTCAGCAGACTAATACTTCATTAAATCAGTTTATAAGGACTTTGAGGTTTGTCATCCTAAATCAGAGGTGAAATAATAACTCAGCACTGCTTTTTTAAAGATAAAACCTGACAATATTACAGTCAGGGAGCAGGTGTAGTTAAATATCTGGTGTAAAGGTGCAGATTTAGCTTTCTTTGACTTTCAGGGCTCATGTAAACTAGACTTTTCTGTTTAAAAACCATTAAGAAGTCACTGTTTCAGCGCAAACTTAAGTCATATATTTTCTTTTTAAATGAACTGTAAAGAAATCATGCTGCTTTGAGTGAATTTGATCGGTGTCTGCTCGTTTTTTCAGGTTCTATGAGGGTGATAATGTTTGACGGCTATGCTAATAAGTCTTACCTGAATTTCACCTTCAAGTCTCATTATCCGCTGCAGCTTTTGGCGCCATTTAAATCCAACAAGTGTCTCTTTTCGCTTTAAAAGTCCGTAAATTCAACATAACGTCGAAGAAAACGCTCTTCCTTATAGAAAGGTATCCAAAAAAATCTCCAAACTACATGTTAGCTCGGCAGATAATCACTCTTTCTGAGCACATAATCTCAACGGCCGCCGACGGTTGGAGACACACGAGCCTCCAGAGAGGAGCTGTGCACGCGCCGTGGGCAGCAGAGTGTCCTGAGTATTATCCGCATTAGCAGGAATTACACCAGCGTCTAACAGGGACGTACAAGAGGGCAAAACTAGGAAACTTCCGCCCACAACACACCCCCTATTTTACCCTTTATTATCCACAAAGAGGTTAAACTGATGTCTGAATAAAGCTGGGGGATAAAAGCTCCAATAATGAGTATTTTAAAGCTCCTGTGAGGAGTTTTTTTGACCCTCCTGAAATAGACTGAAATTTACGTTGATGTTATCCTCCTTAAGTTCTGCCTTCTTGGCTCTGTCTGTAAAAACACGTTTAATTTTAAAAGGTGCTGTTTCCAGTGAGAGTTGGACTCCGTTGGACTTTGTCACCAGTTCTGTTCATAAGCTTTACTGGCTAAACCAACAGGATCTGGAACGGCTCCGCTCCGCTGGACAGAATTTTAAGGCGCAGCCAAGAGATGGAGTGTGTCCAGTTCGGCAGGCAGAGGATCTCGTCGCTGCTTTTTGCAGATGATGTGGTTCTTCTAGCTTGTTCGAGCAGCGACCTTCAGATCTTGCTGGGGCGGTTCGCGGCCGAGTGTGAAGCGGCTGGGATGCGAATCAGCACCTCCAAGTCAGAGGCCATGGTCCTCAGTCGTAAAAAGGTAGATTGCCTTCTCCAGGTTGGAGGGGAGGTCCTGCCTCAAGTGGAGGAGTTCAAGTATCTCGGGATCTTGTTCATGAGTGAGAGTAGGATGGAGCAGAAGATCGACAGACGGATCGGAGCGGCGTCAGCAGTGACGCGGACGCTTAACCGATCAGTCGTGGTGGAGAAAGAGCTGAGCTGTAAGGCGATACTCTAGATTTACCGGTCGATCTACGTGCCGATCCTCACCTTTAGTCATGGATTTTGGGTAATGACCGAAAGAACGAGATCGCAGATACAAGCGGCCAAAATAGGTTTCTGTCACGGAGTGTCCGGGCTCAGCCTTAGAGATGAACCGCTGCTCCTCCACATCGAGAGGAGTCAGTTAAAGCGGCTCGGGCATCTGGTTAGGACGCCTTCTGGACGCCTCCCATTAGAGGTGTTCCAGACATGTCCCACCGAGAGGAGACCTTGTGGCCGGCCCAGGACCAGGTGGAGGGATATAACTCTCGCCTAGCCTGTGAGCGCCTGGGAATCCCCCCAGAGGAGCTGGTGGAAGTGGCTGGGGTGAGGACCGTCTGGGCTCCCCTCCTGAAGCTGCTGCCCCCGTGACCCGCACCCGGACGAAGCTGAAGAAAGCGACGACCGGGTGCGGGTCACATATGGTTAACAAACTTTTTTTTAATATGGTGCACATCTAGAAAATAAACTCTATAATCAGTCTAGTGAACAAAATGTGTTTTAAGAAATCATCTCTCTCCTGTTGAAGAGTGTATGGGTTTAACATGAACCTCCTCAGTCATGTCGGTCTCCCTCAGAAGTGCAGGTCATTATAGACTAACTGACCCAGATTAACAAACTGTAATCTGCAGATTAGCAAACAAGTATGTGACCACTTGTGTTTATACTGGCCTGAGTGGTTTTCACGTTGCCCCTGACCTGTAACAATCTGTCAAATGTTCATTCTTAGTAGCTCTATATTTGAACAAAAGTACAGAGAAATAGATTACATTGACAGGATTTATTAACACTCAAATATAACCTTAAATAAAGGAATTCTTCTGGGTTGCTGAGACACTTTTGCAGCATTGTCCATACAATACTTCCACTTAGAGGTTTGGCTGCATTTTATGAAGTAACCTGCAGATTTCGTTACTCGTAGCAGCCTCAGTGCCTCAATGGATGGATGCAAACTGAGTAATTTAGTTGAATTTAACACCGATTGAACAGCTCCCTTCAAATTTCTGAGTTCCTTTTTATGCAAACTTCTTCTAATCTTCAAGATTCCTGTATTTTTCCTGCAGTTTGCATCCACAGTCCCCTGTTATTCCAGCAGCTGGAATCATAGAAACAGTCTTAGTGTTTTCCTCTCTGGCTCTACGTTGCCTCCTCTGCTTTTGGAGCTGCCTCTGCGCCGGCGTCTGAGCTCTGCTGTTTGATGTACTGCTGCAGCAGGGCGGATAGGTGAGTCGGGTGACGCTGCAGCAGAGAGGCCGTGCGTGACGTCATCATTGTGAGCCCGCTGACCAGTTCACCCTGTACTACAGTCACTGACGGCAGTTTGGAGTAGTTCTGCAGCCCCTGGACGCTCAGTAATGTGTTCTCTATGCAGCCGCCTGTTTGGAGAAGAAAAGGAGAAAAAGTTGCAGTTGAACTTCTCATGATATGTTCAGTGTGTTAAGAACTACAAGAGTATAATCTATTTTCACTCGTCTAACACTCCTCAGGAATTTTTCACTTGTCATAAGAACAGGCTAATAAATTCAAGACCTTCAACAACAACACTCAGTACGTTTACATGACACTTGAGAAAACCGAATTATTGCCCTACTCCGATTAAGACCGGACAACTGAAGTGCATGTAAAGACTTTAGTCAAGAACACCAATTAAGACACCTAGATAATGCAACTGGAATCAATTTTCTCTACCATGTAACCAGCGTAGTCAGAGCATGATCGGACAACGCATGTGCGTGTGCACCACGCCCCCGTAAGCCCAGAACGAAAACACCAAAAAAGAGGAGTAGCGTGCACCTCATCTGCAGAAAAAGTAGCGTGTACATCATGTATGACAAAAACAACGCTGTACGATGCTCCATCTTGTTGCTCGAAAATGCCGAACAACAGTTGTAGCCATTTCTGACGTCTGGCACAGACCTGCTGTTGTTGTTGACGGTTGTCATCATCAGAAACAGTGCAGCTGAAAAGACTCATATCACCCTCTAGTTTTGGGGAGGAGGACACGTTCACGTCAATAATTTAATTTTCTCAGCTGCATGTATACGCAGACAAGGAGAGAAGTCCAACTTGGCGAAAAAACACAAAAAACAAATAAAGAGCTTAGTCCGATTAAGCTATGCATGTAAACGCACTGATTCCTACATTACACTAGGTATAGCTTTGTCCTCAGGGGGGCGCCAAAGTCTGCCCTTAAATGTCACATTTCTGTCTTTTTTGTAAACTGATTGTCACGGCCAAAAAACTCCAGGAAGGAAAGACACAAATAGAAATCGGTTCACAACATACCCACGAGTGTCATCTGTGGGCTGCCTCTCAGAGTCTTCAGCATCTCCTTCACTTTTGGCTCTTTGCTGACTATCAGGATTGTGGGGCCCATGAACAGAGGAGTCATGTTGCAGTAGATGCTTTCTTTCAAGAACAACCGTGCCACCTGAAAAATAACAGACCAGAGGTTAAAATTTTCTTTACAAACTCTGAAAAGAGTAAAAATGCAAGATTTCAGAGGATGGTGCAGCATCTATTTGGTTTTACTTGTTGGGGACTTCTTGCTCATTTTCTTAACCACCACTCTTTAGACTTTAATGTTTAAACACAATAGGCTTTACCTCATTTGGAAAGAACCGAACTCTGATATCATGTTTATAAAGACTGTGCCTCAGCATCATCATGTCTTCTGCATTGCAGCCGTTGTTTTGGGCCACAGCGACCATCTTATTCTCCTGAAACACCTTCCCCATCTCCTTCTTCATGAGGAGCACCAAAGGAGAGCCCTGACAACGAAAAAAAGGAGAAACTGTCTCACAATGACACAAAATAAACCAATCAGAGGCTTCCAAAGACATGATATGATCATCTGGACTTTCCCAAATCATTTAAAGGCATAGTCATCTTAGTATGTGTAAACTTTTGACTCTCGAGAAAATAATTTAAAAATTCTCTAAAAAATTCCCTCACTCATTATTCTGGCATTTAGCAAATAAAAATAATTTTGATAATCCTAATTGAACAAAAACAAGAAAAGTTTAATCTGATATCATGTTAGATGGTGAGAAAAAAAAAAGGTTATGTGCCTTTTTATGTAGTGTATGTAAGCTTCTGGTTTCAACTGTTGTTCAGGAGAGTGGATGAAAATGAAGAGTGCAAAAGCTCAGGACAAGTGAGCAATCAGTAGATTTGTAAATGAGAGCAGATAAATGAAAGAAGAGCATCATAAGGAGCTCCAGTATCACCTCTTTGACTTTTCTGCTCTGGGATGGATAAGCACCCCGAGGAGCAGCAGGGGGAGGAGGAATATACTCGGTAACAGCCATCAGCTTCTGCTTCAGGATGTGCATCGGTCTCCTGTGTCGAGTCACTGACTTGGAGCCGTGCCGGACAATCTGTGTGAGAGGGAGCCATCCTGAAAAAGACGAAAAAAAGCTGTGTTAAAAGAAAAACACCTGCAAACTGTCAACGTGTATGAAAGAAGCTGCTGTGCTAACGCTACTTTACTACAGATTAACCCGCTGTTTAACAAAAATATAACAAATACGAATAACTATGACTCGCTTTAGAAACAGAATACGACATCTAGCGTTAATATAAAACGATATCTAATGTAATTGTTGCGCTATTTACTCTACATTACCCTGTTTCGGTAGTAATTTCACACACAAGGTCGCCGCCATATTTGACTGAAAAGAGCGAACCAGGAAGTGACGTTGCAAAATATGCTGCATTTACTGACTTCTCTCAGGATAGGAAAAGGTGATTTCAGCTACGAATACTATTCCCCTTCTTTCAGCATAGGAAAATGATTAGAATTATTGAAAATATAAGATTTGTTTGGATAAATCTGCCATATGTCATCAAGTGACAACATTGAGGCCATTTACCACCATTTTACTGTCTAAAATAATCTTCATGTGAAAGTTAAATATCGTAATAGTCAAGCAAATAAAATAGATTCATTTGTTTTTTTTCCTTGCTGGGAAATCATACACCGGCGACAAGAGAAGCGAGATTTCCAATCGTAATACTGAGACGTGAATGCATTAAGAAGTATCGAAGTCATAACGTTTCAATTTTTTTGTTTAAATTAATTTACTATCACCTAATCTTACATTCATTTTTATTAAAAGGCTAAAAATAACCCTAAAATATAATACAGTTTAACTATTTGATAAAGTTACAAAACACTTTCATAATATTTTACGTAAGGTAGGATACGTGATGACGTTAGCGCCAGTTTGACAAGCATGAGGCGCATACTCAGTGCGAATTTATTCAGCTTAATCGGTGTATTTTGTGGAAACCCTGCGCCGAAAGTGCCGTTAACGGCGGTGAAACGAAGCGTTCTTGTCCTGAATTTCAGCCGTAAATTAACGAGTGACCGAACAACCATGGACCTGAGCGATATGAGGAAAAAATACAAAGGAGATGAGGAGGTGAGTGCTGCTGGAGACCTTGGATAACCTGTTAGACTGAAATACTCTGAGAGGAAACCTGCATTATCTCTGTGAAGTGTGTTTTCTAGGAACTGCATAGTAGTGGGGATATAAAAGTAGATATCAAAGTATGACAGTGTGTGTAGATTTTGCTCAAATTCATCTCAAATGACACCAAATGTGAAGCAGCTGGTGGGAGATGGAGTCATTTATGATGTTTTCTAGATGGTTCAGTCCTTGACTTTGACCTCTGGACTGTGCAGCCTGCCTAAAAAAGCAAAACACTGAATGAATAAGTAATCTAAAGACATTGAACTGTGAGAAATAACTGTTTGAGTGTGTTGACAGTGCTTTGAGGAGAGCCAGCTTGTCTCTCTGGACCCAATCAAACAGTTTGGAGACTGGTTCAATCAAGCCACAAAGTGTCCTGAAGTTGGAGAGGCGAATGCGATGTGCATAGCTACTGCCACCAAGTAGGTAAAACAAGACATCTGATTCAAAGAGCTGATCAATATTCTGTTTCTCACAGCTTAATGTAAACCTTATTAATGTGATTCTTTTACAGAGACGGGCGTCCATCTGCTCGGATGGTCCTCCTGAAAGGTTACAGCAATGAAGGTTTCCGTTTCTTCTCCAACTATGAGAGCAGAAAAGGCTCAGAGCTGGTGGGTAACAGTAAAGCAAACATCCGAGCTCTTTCTGACCTGATATGAACTTTAAATTTGATAGACTCTGTTATTTTTATTTACTTAACAATGATGTGCTTCTGTCTGAATCCCCTAGGACTCAGTTATTTTCCCAAACTTCCCCAAAAGAAGCTGTTGAAATCGATTATTTTGATAACCTTTTACCACAGAAAACAACAGACTTATTCGCTGTAGGGAAACACACCAAAGCATCAAATCTTACACTGATTGGTTCAACAGTTTCAAGAATATCAACAAAAATTGGCACAAAACAATAAATTAACTTGTATTGGTTTGTTGTGATCTGAAGTTTCCAATGTGACATGATCAATATCACGTCTGTGTGGGTGTTATATGTGTCTGCGATCAGCTGTGTTTGTTTTCTGCATCAACTCTGGTCTTTATTTTTCCTTGTCTCCAGGAGAGTAATCCGTACGCATGTTTAGTCTTCTACTGGGAACCTTTAAACAGACAGGTCAGCATTTTTTCACACTCTTTGTGAATATTACAAATAATTTCCCTGAAGTGTTTGTTAATGAGTTTTATTTGTTTTGCACAGATTCGAATCGAAGGCAACGTGGAGAGAATCCCCTTCCAGAATTCATGCGATTACTTCCACTCCCGACCAAAGAGCAGCCAGATCGGGGCCGTCGTGAGCCGGCAGAGCACTCCAGTTCCTAACAGAGATGTAAGAACCTGAACTGTATTTAAAGGGATATTCCGGCGTAAAATCCATTTAGGGTCAAACACATCATAACACCGAGTTGGACACCCCCTCGAGAGATGAATGTTGCTGACCGCTTGCTTCTCTAGTTATACGAACTTAAGTAACGACCGCAGGATAGCAATACACAGCGGTCTGAGGAGCCGTAAACAAACCTCAACCAAAATGCCACTCTATAGCCACAAATAATGCTCAGAACAGCACCTAACTTCATCAACAGCACATATAGGGTCCCAGCCATAGAGCTAGCCACCAAACATCTTTTTAACTTTGACTCATTTCTTTAGCAAAGAGACTAAACACAACTCACCTACTCTCCTCCAGCAGCGGATTGTTTGTGGGGGAAGCCCTGATGAGCCGATCGCTGAGTGCAGAGGAGTTTCGCAGCTCAAGGAAGAACATTTGACCCTAAATTAATTTCACACCAGAATATCCCTTTAACAATTTAGTTCATGCATAAATGTGACAGGCGAATTTCATTTCTATGGTGTCTCTTCATTCAGTATCTGAGGGAGAAAAATGCAGAACTGTTGGAGAAGTACAAGGACGCAGAGGTGCCGATGCCCGATTATTGGTGAGGATGAATATTTGTTTGTATAAAGAGCACAGAGAGTGGTTTCAAAGGGGAAAAGTAGTCTGCTGCTCACTCAGGTTAATAAAATCAACAGATTAATACGTCAAATGGTTTAATTATGTTTCTGCTCATGGTTAATAAATAAGAGGCGATATATAAAATACTGTTGTCATATGTGTAAAATGTGGTTTGGCATACTTTTCCTGTCTTTGGTCAACAGGGGGGGCTACATCGTGAAACCGTACCTGATGGAGTTCTGGCAGGGTCAGACCAACAGACTCCACGACCGCATCGTCTTCACTAAACAGAAGGACGGAGAGGAGCTGGGGGAGTTTCAGCACGCCGCAGAGGGAGGCTGGGTGTACCAGAGACTGTCTCCATGAGAGAGAAAAAACTCAACGCACTCACACGTAGGGAAGGAAACCTCGTCTGACCATCGTTCATAAAAATACTTGACAAAAGCGCTCATCTCATGGTTCTGAAGCAGGGCGTTCGTGGTCGGTTCAGTAGCTGCTACTGTGTGTGTGTTCGATTTCTCAAACATGACTGTGTCGTCTGTGAACCTCCTGATGGAGTGACATAACTTATACTTTACACTCTCCATGCATTATGAAATAAATAGACGCTGCTGACCGACACAAGGGAACAAACTCCACCTGGTTTTGTCAAATAATGATTGACAGGAGAGTCGGTTACTCAGCACGGTTGTCGTTAACCTTTAAATCATGAAAACTGTGTCTTATTTCCCAGAGAGCACAATCTGTACCGCCGACAGTTTCGCAATGATGCCGCTTTATTTCATTTTCCTTATTAGTGAAGTTTGATTTGAAATTTCTTAAAATGCGCTACAATGCTTTCTAGAACAGCAGTTTGTAATTTAGTGCTGAAAAAAGATCCGAAACATGAGTCTTAATTTCATTTTTTTAATGCAGTTTCCTTATTTCCTTGATAATTACCTTGAATTACCAGAAACTTTCAAGTTAAAAAAATACAGTCAGTGTCCGTTCTATTAGAAACACCTGTAAAACACGATCAAACAGGTGTTTTATGCTTCTGAAGCCTCTAACATTTCATTATTATGTTAGTAAAAAAAACCTGTAATCACATTTTAAACATCCAGTACCACCAGATAATAAAGGAAGAATTTCAGGATTGATGTCAGCTGTCTGGAGCGACTCGAAATATTCACTGAAAAGATCGATTTGTGCCGTTCATGAGGGATAAACTGAATAAAAATAAAAACTGCATCATTTAAATAGCCTATGACTGCATTAAATCTACATAACATGGTATTTTTAAACATATTCATCTTGTTTTTTTATCAATGTGATGAAAGATGATTGAGTTTACCAACCACTGAATCAAGATTACAAACTAGGAACCTGAATTTGAAGAGGTGTAAGAAAGTGGACCCTTATAACCCATGAAGAGCATTTTCACCTTGTTACTCCTGTGGCCCTGACTGTGTTTCATAAATGAAGACAGTGAGTCGAGTTGCCTTTTAATGCAGAGATTAAAAGAGCTGAGTGTTTGAACAGTGCCAAACTTTGCTGTCTGTCTGAGATTGTTGTTGACTGTTTACTGAGAATATAATGATGATGATATTTTCTCTTGAAGTACTGTCTTTGTGAAATTGAGCCATTAATAAAGTTTAATTTGTACATCAGGGCAGTGTGTGTTTTTGTCCAGTAGATGTCAGCAGAACGACTCTAAACTCACAGCTCATTATCCGACTTTTTAACAACTTTTTAGCAAAGACATAAAAAAGTTTAATATTGTATTAAAGTTTGGAAAATTATTGTATCACAAAATTCTATAATTGTGTTTAGATTTGGATGTAGATGATCAAATAAAGTTGTATTTTTACAGTCCCTCTAATCCTTGGTTTGTTGGTTCCCATGGCAACAGATTCTTGACAGCCTCCTATCGGGTTAAAAAGGTGGATTTCTGCTTTTGTTTACATATTTTGGAAACTCGTTATGTTAAAATTTTGGATGTCACAGGAGCAAGGATTCGGGTTCAAGGTCTATCTGTGTTTAAGTGATCCTCAGATGGGACTACAGGGGGGTCTGAGGAGATTTCAGACAGATCAATATGAGATTTAGTCAGTCAATCTCCTTAAAAGGGCAAAAGGAAACAGATTTGTTCCATGGCAGCAGTGGAGGAGGCTTCCGGAATGGTGAGGGATTCTCAAAGAGACAGTCGCATCAATGAGGCATGTCAGACAGATGCTGAAGTGTGACTGAATACACTCCTCCACCTGGTCTAGGATGGACTGCAGGTTTTCCAAGGTTAGCACAAGACAGGGTAAAGATCAATACAAGAGCGTCATCAATAATCGGGTTATGAGGCAGTGTCGTCTCTGTTCGACTGATGGTGTTTGACTGCCAAGTTTTCCAGTGATAACATCGATATTTTCCAGCTGATAGAGTGACTTCCCTACACTCAACATCTCAGTTTCTGGTCAAACATGATCCTGCTCTGTAATAATTCACATTAAACTGAACATTTCTTTTAAAGGTAAGACAAGACGAGGTGTGAGCGATATTTTTTTTTACCACAGTGTCAACAGGCAGAGATAAAAAGCATCAGATTATTATGTCAGTGAACTCCCTGAATTCTTCCCTCATGATGCTTCGTCTGTCCCTGAAGGTCTGACCTGCAGTGAGTCAGCCTGATGTAACGCATTATTACCAAACGCAGAAGCACACAACTGTATCAGATGTCAGTGTCTGCTTTCTGTCGCCATGTCAACAAAAAGCTGCACACACAGGCTCGGGTGAAAACACAAACTGGTCCAGGTAACCCGAAACTAAAACTAACAGGCTCCGTCACTTAAATCATCAATGTGCATGTTCAAATAAAGGTGATGGAGCTGCAGCACAGAGCGAGAACACACCTGTCTGTCTGCACACAGATACACACAAATACAAGGTAGTCTTTAATGTGAACTCATCCTGTTAGATTTATTACAAACAAATACACTTTTATTAACTTCAAAATCACAGAAGAGATTATACAAACAACATCTAATGGTTTTAACTTTAGAGTACGCACAGTATCTCAGACACAGTCATAAAAATCAAGTCTCATTTGCTTTGGTCATAAAAATGCATAAAAATTGACTAGGGTTTGGTTGCACCATACATTTTACACCTCCTTGTTGATTGTCTAGGCATAAAAAAAGATTTAATTTATAAAAATCTACATCAATGAAAGTAAAAATAATTTACAATAGTCCAACTTTTCATTTTGAGTGATCTCTGAACAGCTGTCAGAACTTTTACGGTTGTTTTTGAAGATAAATAACAGCAGTTTGAGCACAGAAAAGACAGAAATAAACCCCAGTACTTTGTTTAATGGTTTTCTGCTGGTACCTGTTGTTGGTATGGGTGTGGGTCCACTGGTAACTGTATCTACCTGGGTGTGGTGCCAGGTGACAAGTGTTTATCCAGCTTGCAGTTTGCACGTGTTGTGCCACATGATTTTGCTTGCATATATTTCAGTATTTTCTCTTTCTAAGCTTTTATGACACATTTCTGATATCTCAGAGGCCCTGGTTTATTTCTCCGTCTTGTTTTTGTGGTTTTCGTCACTGAGGTTGTGCTCTGAGAACAGACTGGGGTTCTCGGACAGCGTGGCTCGGACCTTCTTCTTCTCCTTGAAGCGTCCAGAGTGGGAGACTTTGACGTGTCGGCCTTTAGTGGCGGATTTATCCACGATTTTCTCCAATCTGGCGTTGAACTGGCTGTCTACGTGGTCCGCAGGGGGGTTGTTGTTGCTCTGGTGCTCTTTGTTCCCCGTGTTGGTGCCGTATTCAGCCGGGATCTCGTACAGAACTTTGGGTTCGGACTTTTTCTTACGGGAGAAGGTCAGCTTCCACCAGCTGGGGTCAGCCATGGCACCAACAGAGACGAGGACTGACCTGAGGGAGACAGAGAGCACATGATGAGGACTTTGGAGAGGAGAACTTTACTAACAATAAACAAAGTGCAGCAGTAGTTAGTGTAGGTAACTGCTGAGGAATAAAAAAATATAATGAACATTTCAAATCAACTGCAGAATTAGACGTTTTTAACCCAATTAGGAATTTAACTTCACAAACACAAACACATAAATCCCTCATGGTTTGTTTTAGAGACGATTTCTTTTACTGAAGACTAAATAATTAACAACTTTTTTTCAGGTAAAGAAAATATAAATTCCAACATATAGTCAGGGATTATAAATTTCACTGCCAGGATTATTCCTTGAATGTTTTTTTTAAATGTTTTTGATATTGTTTTTTTTTACGGAGGATGATTACAGCCTTTGAAAATATATATATGTAAATGTAAATGCTCTTTATTTATACAGCCCTAAACAATAAATAACAATTAAAGCAATTAAAAGGAATAAAATACAATGCAATAAAATAAAGTTTCACCACGCTACTGGGTATGAAAAGCCAGCATAAATAAGTATGTTTTCAAACCGGATTTGAAAAGGTCCAGGTCAGATTAAAGTCTCATTTCAGTGGTTAGTTTATTCCAGAGCCTGAGACCAGCGACTGAAGAGGCTCTGTTACCCCAGTGTTTGTGTTTTGTCTTGGGCACCTACAGCAGAGGTTCATTTGACGACCTCAGAGCTCTACCCGGCCCTGAAACTGTTAAAAGCTCAGTATATATGAGATCCAATGTGTATATTTTTTAATTTCATTATTTCAAATATCAGTGACAGTCTTTTAAATATAATTAAGATGAAAAATGCAGCTTATAGGAATGTATAAAATAAAGTAAAAACAAGAAAGATGAAATAATGAGGACGAGTGACAGTCTGTCGTGTCTAACTGAGCGCTGCGTGTCAGGTGGAGGAGAATTTGGACTTTTGACCTCCATCTCTAAATTCCCTCTTCCCTGAAACTTCCTTATAACTTATGTAGAAGCAGCTTATCATCAATACGGACTCCTATCCAGGTGTATGATAAAGAAGTGTCATCACTGATAAGAGTGATAAAGTCATGTAGCAAAGGTGTGTCTAAGACACACGTTTAGATCGTTTACTCATGTAAAAGTAGTTCGTCCTTGAGGAAACTCTAAATTTAACTTCAGTCTCGCCCCTGTGCTGGATGTAATCTCCCAGAGTTTCCTATCCCTCATCAACAATATCACTATTTGACATATTTTATTCCTGTTATTTCACCTGCAGACTCTCGTCAGTGTAGCTCTAAACAGACGTTATCAAACCTTGAGAAATATATCGATATAATTACTCAGTTTTATCACCTGTCCGTCTCACTTATCACCTGGGTGTAGTGTGTTCTGTTGTTGTTTCAGGGCACTGCCAAATCTGAGACTAATTTCCCACCGGAGCAATAAAGCCCAGCTTATCTTATCCAGTCTATAAATACCTGACTCTGATTGGTCGAAACCCGTCGACAGCAGCTGAACAGTGACGGTGGTGCCCTCAGGGACATCCTGATCACAGATTGTCTTAAATCCATCCTACAAACTGATTATTTATTGTTTTACATGGTTTTACTGTGTTTTTTATTGTTGATCAGGTCGTCTTAATTAAACATTAGATCAAACTCTTCTTATCTCCTGCACAGTTCACATGTCTGTGACTCGGCCTGTGGCTCCTGATGCTCTTTTTCATCCCTGTGACCAGGATGTGTAACCTGATGGAGGACGACACCTGACGCTCTGCTCCCGGCTGATAAATTAATAAACAGCTGAGCGGTCTCACCTGTCCTCCCCGTGTGATCTGATATGAAGTCAAAAAACTTTGGACTGATGATGAAAAATAAAGTTGTTATGAAGCAGGAATGTGAACTAAACTCCTCTGAAATCGAGGTTATCTGTATGTCTGATTCAGGTTTATGGTCGTAGGGTTACTGCTGTGGGTCAGGGATCGTTATCTCTGGTCTCCTAGCAACAACAGGGTATAAGGCCACAATAACTTCCTCAATAATTGAATACATGGACTCTTTGATATAGCAGGCTTTGTGTGAGGTCAGGCGTGTCTTTATGATGTGCTATGCAAAATAACAAACAAGCCTGGGGATATTTAAAACACACAAAGCCCGCTCTGAGCGTCTAATAAAAGGAATCTGAGGTCTGTCTGTTTACTTTGTCGGAGCTTTTAACCTCGCAGTTGTCC